ATATAGGTGTTGTGTGTCGTGACCCTACGCCCGACCGAATGATCCCGCCATAGCACAGCCGTTATGTAACAGCCGTTATTTTGTGGCTGAGCTTTTATCATTTGCGTTATGTTTTTTCATGAACATTATTTAAAATAGACAAATACTTCGGATGTCGCATGAGTGAGTGTGTGAGTGAGTTTGGGTTGTTGAAATATTCCAGCAATATCACGGCGGGGGCACCTGAAATGAAAATACATTTGTAATCAACGAACTGAAAATGTGTAAAACCAGCGTAAGTATGTCATACTATCGTATCGCGATTATCTTGTTTTTCATAAAACATTAAATACATAAAACACGGCAGACATAAAACATATTTATTTATATATACTTTTACAATATATTGTCTATAAGGGTGACATTACGTCACATCACCATGGTCCAGGGGAAAGTGAGTGAGTGAGTTTGGTTTTACGCCGCTTTTAGCAATATTCCAGCAATATGACGGCGATGGACACCAGAAATGGGCTTCACACATTGTACCCATGTGGGAATCGAGCCCGGACCTTCGGTGTGACGAGCGAACGCTTTAACCACTAGGCTACCCCACCGCAACGGATGTCGCATGAAATAGCACTAACTGTTTTGTATACACACGCATGACCCCACCCTTCCCAAAATGTTATTTATGCGTTGTTTAATACCGCAGCACTATTGCAGCTTTATGGCGGCGGTCTGTATATAATACATTCAACCCAGTGATTGACATCATGAGCATCGATGTTGGGATACGATGACTACTTGATCAGTTTGAAACCTTTACGCTGGTCAATTCATAAATTATGAACATATTATTATGAATATGTCTTCAATGGGATCAACATTCAAATAACAAGTATGTGTCGTTTGTAGGGCGTGAGAAAAGGCCCGAGCACTTTGGGAGTGTCGCGATGGAATCGTAAACACTTGGACAAGAGTCAGTTTCGTGTTTCTAGACTTTGAGAGTGTTGACGTTTGTTTTATGCACTCAGTGGAGAGAACCAGGAGGGTTGCATTACAGATTGGTCTTGTCTGCACTGAAAACCTTCACAAGAAGGTCATAATTTTACACGTTTCTGCACTGAACGGTGTTGACACTCGACGTTTCACACACTTGCCTGCACAACAAGCTGTCGTGTAAATGGCCTTATTATATGCGTGTGTTGAGATAACGAACAACTCGTGGCAAGGGGGGATGTCTCTGATCCAGGGTTTCTTCTCGCTGAAAGTCTTAGCCTCAAATATGCTGTGTCCATGTATCACTGATATACACAGTCGGATTAAAGTAAACTGCAAAATTCTCCTCCTGATTCATCACCACCAACATCAACACCAACACCAACACCAACACCAACACCAACACCACTACTACTACTACTACTACTACTACTACTACTACTACTACTACTACTACTACTACTACTACTGCCCATTTCTGGTGTCCCCCGCCGTGATATTGCTGGAATATTGCTAAAAGCGGCGTAAAACCATACTCACTTCGCTCACTACTCTCTACTACTACTAGCATTACTTACTCTGGATGAAGTGGTCTTTCGCTGACTCTCGCTGTTAATCATCTATTAGATTGCCTGGTCAAGATTCGATTACTTAAAGAACGACTTCATATAGCTGTAAAATTGAAATATTGGGGTTTTAAGCAACAAACAAAACAAACTACTACCACAGCTACTACTACAACTACTGCTACTATCACTTTTACAACTATTGCTGCTACTGCTACTACAACTGCCTCCACTTTCACTACTACTGCTGCTGCTTCAACTACTGCTACTGCGACTACTCCATATATGGCTCTGCAGTTAAGATACTTAGTTCAGGCGTTGGTTCAAATCCCAGACAATGGATGATAATGATGATATGTCAATAAGGTCATGTTGCTGGTAGTTAATATTTAATAACTACGATAATAATAATGATTATCTAAATCCTCACACAGAAATCAAAGGAAAAATACATACCAATATACACAGTGCATTACAAAACGGATGTCATTATCAATGCGAAATTCATGTTCTTAAGACGTTATTTATGCTTGTGTGAGTCATTGACGGGAGAGAGAATTGTCTCGAACGTTTATGCTCACCCAGCTAGGCCGCTATGGACTTACAAAGGGCGCGGCCAAACATATGTCTCTTGAATCGGACTTTCAACAGAGTAAACACTGCCCGATCTGTTATGGCTCCTCTAATCTTAGACTAAGGCTTAGTCTCTGAATATATATAATTTGGATAGTAACAAACAAGCCCATTTATATTGAAAAGGAGCCCTAGGGAGACCAGAGATTCAGGAACCTGAGGAAATCTAGACTTGCTTTATTTAGGGCTTTAGCACTGCAGAGAGGGCTAGGCAGTAGGGAAAATAATGTTGTTCAGGGACTGTGAGACAGACTACTCTAATCTGTGTACAGTTCTTCTACATCAGGCCCCACCGCCACATGAAAATACGATACCTCGAGTCAACATACCCCCGCGGGCTTGGATAAAGCTTTGGTATGCTCGTGAATGGGAAATTGTGCGTGATGTTTGTTTGATATAGGGCGTTATTCTGACGTTATTTCACGGACCTTGTCATTATGTTTGAGAGATAATTACTTGATGGTATAGCAAGTCGCGGGAAAGTTTGATGTAGTTGTAAAGGCAAATTGAACGGTTTCTGTGTAACGTTTAGACTTGATTGATGATTGATGAGGTAAACACCCGGAGATCATAATGAAACATATGAACATACGCACAAAACACCCATACACGCAAACACAAACGCATATACATGTAAGTACACACGCACGCAAGGTCACATGCATCTTTCCACTGGAGGGGCGGTGGGGTAGCCTAGTGGTTAAAGCGTTGGCTCGTCACGCCGAAGACCCGGGGTCGATTTACCATATGGGTATGTGTGAAGCCCATTTCTGGTGTCCCTGCCATGACATTGCTGGAATCATTCTAAAAGCGGCGTAAAACCAAATTCACTCAATCACTTTCCACTGGACCTTGGTGATGTGGCGTAATGTCACTTATAGAGATTACCTTGAAAAAACATAAAAATGAATATGTTTCACGTCTGCTGTGTTTTATGTAATTTAAGGTTTTAAGAAAAACAGGATACTCGCGATACGATAGTATGACGCATTTACGGTGGTATTACATATTTCAGTTCGGTGTTTACGATTGTATTACTTATTTCAATTCGTTGTTTACGATAGTGTTACATATTTCAGTTCTGTGTTTACGATTGTATTACTTATTTCTGTTCGTTGTTTACGATAGTGTTACATATTTCAGGTCGGTGTTTACGATTGTATTACTTATTTCTGTTCGTTGTTTACGATAGTGTTACATATTTCGGTTCTGTGTTTACTATTGTATTACTTACTTCAGTTCGTTGTTTACGATAGTGTTACATATTTCAGTTCGTTGTTTACGATAGTGTTACTTATTTCAGTTCGGTGTTTACGATTGTATTACTTATTTCTGTTCGTTGTTTACGATAGTGTTACATATTTCAGTTCGGTGTTTACGATAGTGTTATATATTTCAGTTCAGTGTTTACTATTGTATTACTTATTTCTGTTCGGTGTTTACGATTGTATTACTTATTTCTGTTCGTTGTTTACGATAGTGTTACATATTTCAGTTCGTTGTTTACGATAGTGTTACATATTTCAGTTTAGTGTTTACTATAGTATTACTTATTTCTGTTCGGTGTTTACGATTGTATTACTTATTTCTGTTCGGTGTTTACGATTGTATTACTTATTTCAGTTCGTTGTTTACGATAGTGTTACATATTTCAGTTCGGTGTTTACGATAGTGTTACATATTTCAGTTCGGTGTTTACTATTGTATTACTTATTTCTGTTCGTTGTTTACGATAGTGTTACATATTTCGGTTCTGTGTTTACTATTGTATTACTTACTTCAGTTCGTTGTTTACGATAGTGTTACATATTTCAGTTTGGTGTTTACGATTGTATTACTTATTTATGTTCGCTGTTTGTCATATATCATAGTTTCTGTGTACACAACAATGACAAGAGATCGCCTGTCTGTGTAGTGAAACAAAAACGGACATTTCATTCAACAGCTGATGCGAATAATGTTAACATAATTTAAAATGCCACAAAACTGGCACTATTGCTATGTGTTCCGTTTGTTCCGTACAGTATATATACGACGTGTCAGACAGCTGAGGGACCCACTGACCTTTATACATCCTCTTGCTACTTCAGGGCACACTGACCATGAAACGAACAAAATGACATTGTGCATTGTCCATTTTACAGTTGCACAGACATGCGCAGACGAAGTTCACTGTGGTTATAATATAATACGTGGTAGCATGTCATAGGAAATTGTACGAGTGAGTGAGTGTGTAATAGGAAATTGAGTGAGTGAGTGTGTGAGAGTGAGTGAGTGAGTGAGTGAGTGAGTGAGTGAGTATGGTTTCACGTGGCTTTTAGCACAATCACGACAGGGAACACCCAAAATGGCCTGACACAGTATACTCGCACGGGGACTTCAACCCGGAACTTCGGCGCGACTCTTATAGGTGTACTAGAATATTATGATAGTGTGTTCCATTCCGAGCACCACCCGAGAATGATGATCCTCGGTGTATCAGCACTATACTCGTGTAGACTGAGGCTGTCAAAGTTGCCCATCTCCATGTGAGGTGGCTGTTGTAGAATCATTGGGCGGTGGGGATAGCCTTGTGGTTAAAGCGTTCGCTCGTTACCCCGAAGACCAGGGTTCGATTCCCCACACGGGTAAAATATGGGCAACCCACTTCTGGTGTCCCTCTCCGTGATATTGCTGAAATACTGCTAAATGCGGCGTAAAACTAAAGTCACTCACTCAGTCTTGTAGAATCGGGTTTTATTTCCCAGATCATTATGTTGTTTTTTAATTATTTTTTTTAATTTTTATTTTTTTATGTTATTGACGTATTGTTGACTGTTTCAGCTGGTGGGTCTGAGTTTGGCCATCGTGGGAGCCTATGTGCTGTATCTGAAGGAGAAGACGGTGCGGACTCCCATCGACTTCTTCTTCGACCCGTCATGTCTCATGTGTCTGGCTGGTTGCATTGCCTTCGTGCTCGCCCTCTCCGGCTGTGCAGGCTCCCTCAGGGAGAACACGACCTTACTTAAAATTGTAAGTATAATTGTGGTGACTTGACATTCTCTTCATATTTACTGCCCGCGAAGATCTTGGTTAGAACTGGTCTTCAGTAGCCCGTGCTTGTCGTAAGATCGGGATCGGGTGGTCAGGCTCGCCGACTTGGTTGACACATGTCATCGTATCCCAACTGCGTAGATCGATGCTCATGTTGTTGATCACTGGATTGTCTGGTCCAGACTCGATTATTTAGAGGCCGCCGCCATATAGCTGGAATATTGCTGAGTACGGCGTAAAACTTAACTCACTCAGTAATAAACAAAGCTGAGTATACCTGATATACTGCGGCATGGTATCTCAGTGGGCTAACATTAAACCGGCTTAAGCGAAACACACACACGTACATGCACGTCGCTTATAAACAGAAAATATCTTGAACGCCAAAAAAACCCATTTCTCCTCCTCATATCTTTTTGAGAATTTTAACGGACTGGTTGACGGAAAACGTGCCATGCACAAAGTCCACGTCCACAATCTCCTAAGGTAGAATGTATTCCACCAGACTACCAAGCCCAAAAATATAGACGCGTCACATGATCGTACAGTGTATGGTTTTAATGATGCAAAGAGCCATTAACATGCACAAGGAAAACCTGCAAGCTTTTAACAGAAACGCCAGGTAATTAAGACATTTTTGACAATTTGAATTAAACAATTATTTCTGTAAAGCATTACATGGTTCCATAATGTTTATATGCTCCTTTGATATATTTAATTGCTTTTTTTAGTGGAGGGTGGTTTTAATTCTGTGCATATTTATATTGTTCTAATTTCTCTCGTAAAAGAGAATGCTCACTTTTTATTTGATTTTATAATTGATATTTTGCATTAATACCTGAGGCTGGATTTAAATAAATGTATGTGCGTGCGTGCGTATGTGTGTGTTACATTCACCTGGTTTAGGACAAACAAGCTTGGTAGTGGGGTAGACAGTGCTACTCATAGTGTGGATGCTACTGTTATCCATACATCCTAAGTGTCTTTCATGAAAAACGTTTAACACTGACCCTGTAAAACCGGGGGCGGTGGGGTAGCCTAGTGTCTAAGGCGTTCGCTCGTCACGCCGAAGTCCCGGGTTCGATTCCCTACATGGGTACAATGTGTGAAGCCCATTTCTGGTGTCCCCCGCCGTGATATTGCTGGAATATTGCTAAAAGCGGCGTAAAACCAAACTCACTCACTCCCTCCCTGTAAAACCGGTTACCGCATTTTCCGGAAATTTATTATTGTGGACGTCTTTGCTCAGCTACAAGCACATAACGACGGATGTGGGTCGTTAAAAAGGAAATCCACTGATGCGGCTGATGTCACTAATCTTATAACGGCATCGTCCGGATAAACGGCGTTTCAAAACTTTGGTATATCAATCCCGGTATTCTTGTTTCAGTATTACTACCTAGTGGGGTTGTTTCTGTTCCTGGAGCTCGCCCTCATCATCTTCGTCTTCGTGTTCTACTACGTCCCCGACGCCAGGACGACGCTCAAACTCTACCCTGAGGATATTCTCAAGGAAGCCATCGTCAAGTATAGAGATGACGACGATATGAAGAATCTCATTGACGTCATGCAGCAGACGGTGAGTTGTCTCCCTTAGATATAAATGTACGTTTTAATCGTTAATATTTTATCGAATAGTGAACAATGGCTTGGTGTTAGAACATTAATGTTTAATATAATATATCTACATAAACGACTGTCCCACAAAGAGATCCTTGCGCTACTACTATTGTAAGCCATTGTTGAGGTATGGGACTAACGCTTAGTCCCTGAATATATATATATAATTTTGATAGTAACAAATAAACCCATTTAAATTGAAAAGGTGCCCCAGTGAGTTGGGAGATTCTGAACCTGGGGAAATCTAGACTTGCTTCATTTAGGGCTTTAGCATTGCAGGGAGGGCTTGGCATTAGGGAAAATAATGTGGTTCAGGGACTGTGAGACAGACTAGTATAGGAGGTACGATCACCCAAGCTAAGACCACTTTGTGCAGCCCTGCCCAGCAGCCAGGTTACGTGATGGCCAATGAGATGAAGCACGCAGGCTAGCATTGCATGCATAGATAGACGCACACGTTCAAACTCTCAGGAAACAATTATTGTGTCATATATGTTTCGTCATCTGTTGATATTTCCGGATCAGCTGGAAATCCTGATGCCTATCTTACTGACTTTCCGGTTACTATTATGTGGTTCCCTAGCAACTGTATCTATATCTCTGTACTGCGGAACTGCACGCTGTGCGGACCTGTGAACAGGGCATCTCGCTCGTACGGCTAATCTGTAAAAGCCTATGTACCATTATCACATATGTTATCCAATATTTTATTACAATCGATTTCAGGTTTGTGAATAACACATATACAATAACATATGTTATCTAAGATTTAATTATAATCGATTACAAGTTTCGGAATAAACTTGAATAGTCAATCAGTTGTAGAGGCGGTGAGGTAGCAGTGGTCAAGGCGCTCGCTCTTGACGCCAAAGGCCCGGGTTCCATCCCCCACATTGGTACAATCTGTGCAGAACTAAGATGTTTTCCCAGTCGTGATATTACTGGAATATTCTCACTGGGATTTTGTGGACGTCGCTGACGTGGTTGAGAATCATCGTATCCCAACCTTGTGACGATGCATGCATGATGTTGAGCACTGGATTGTCTGGTCCAGATTCGATTATTAACAGACCGCCGCCATATAGCTGGAGCATTGCTGGGTGCGGCGTTAAACAACCAACAAAAAAACAATAATGTTCTCAAAGTCGTGTAAAATATTATTCTACCATGACGTAAGTAAATACTGGATTGTAATTGGTGGTTCAAAGTCATTCAGAGGTATATAATCACGTTATATACCTCTGATTTTCCAACAAGCATGTATTTTTTAAAATTTTAATAACGCGGTTATGGTAGAATGGAGATAAACGTACTGTATCGGAAGATCAGAGCTATATAACAAAATTATGACAGCTCTAATATTTTCATTTAGAGCTATTATAATTTCGTTATATACCTCTCATTTTTCAACACAGTACGTTTATCTCCTAATTCACCCACACAATTAAACGAAGCCATCTTTCTGAATGACACGACTGGACAGCATTGTTAACCATAATAGTTATAAACAATAACATTGTTAAACTGACCACTGTCCAGATTATACACATCCCCATTGTCTACCGTGCAGATGTAAACAATACTATTAAAAACCTGGTGCCCAGATATCACGCCCAGGACCTGCTTCCACAAACATAGGGTTAGCGAGAGGGCATTCGGAATGTTTACACAACGGTCGAAGTATTTATACTGCAATATATTTTCCCCGGTCATTATTTTAGTGGACGTATATATTTATACCCTCACCCCAGACCCCACCCTCGGGCCTCTGTAGGATACTACTCTCAGTACATAGGCTGTCTGACAGATGGAGGTCAGATCAGGCGGTCCACCTGTTTAAACAGATCCGACCTGTTACGGGACTGATTCATAGCCAAGTGGTGATCAGCACGAACAAACAGCTTGCCCAGGTGGTACGATTATGGCGTTAAACAATATCGCTGTCACATACAGCCTGATGCAGATTACCTAGCTAGTTAGAAGATTTAATTATTTTTATCCACAAGTCACATGTGTTTTGAAGTAGAAATATCAATATTATAAGACGCTTCAAACAATATGGCATATGCCTGCGTGAGATTTGAACGGTCATTTGAACGGAAAGTTCGAATTGACGAAGTCGTATTGGTGGTCGCCGTAAAACCAGGCTTTTACTTTTGTTTACCTGTTTGACTGACACACCAAGAAGCGTAATCAGGGCCAATCAGATATTCGAAATACCTCTTTCGAAGTGACGCTACTCTTTGGACTACTGACCATTCATCCCATGTAAATAATGGTGCCGTGAAATGCGTTAAAGATGATTGTACTTAAATAGCGACGTGCGTACAGGTGTGTGTGTGACCGCTTGCACTAGCCCAGACTTCTGCCGCGTTTGTAGTGCTAGCATAGTGCCAGCACGCAGTCACCATACCACAGTCTACTATGGACACCCCACTAAAGACACAGTATACTGACTCAAAGCCAATCAGCCCTTGCTTGATCCCATTTAGATAGGCGTAGAGTAACAGTAACAACCATCTTTTAATGTCTTTTGGTAGAACACCACAGGGATCGAACACCCGACCTTCCGCTCTCAGGGCGGACACCTTGTCCATTTGACCAAGTAGGAAGTGATGATGCATATAATATGGTTGATCATGGTTTCATCTGAATCCGTCTCTCTCCCACAGTTATATTGTTGCGGGTTAAGCAACGACGACAAAGGTTACCTGGACTGGAACCTCAACGTCTACTTCAACTGCAGCGCCAGCAACCAAAGCCCAGAGAGTTGTGCTGTACCCTTCTCCTGCTGTAACATCAAATCGGTGAGCCTCATCCTCAAGCGTTGCTAGCAAAACTTCCACCCGAGGATAACATCTGGAACATACTCAAATTTGAATCAGAAATCAAAGATTATTATTATGATTTTTGTTGTTGGTTTTTCCTTTAACGCGGCATCGAGCAACATCCCTGCTGTATGGCGGCTGGCTGTAAATAATGTTGTCTTGACTATATAACCAAATACGTTTCTATCCACGCAGAACCATGAAGATCCGGGTTAGAATTGGTCTTCAGTAACCCATGCTTGCCGTAAGAGACGACTAGCGGGATCGGGTGGTCACACTCGCTGTCATATCCAAATTGCGTAGATCGATGCTCATGATGTTGATCACTGGATTGTCTGGTCAAGACACGATTATTTACAGACTGATGCCATATAGCTGTAATACTGCTGAGTGCGGCGTAAAACTAAACTCACTCATTTTCAGATCGTACAACCAATTGTAAAGAATAATGTGTACCAGCTAGTTGTACCTTGTGAATGACCCCTTACAAACGTGTTTTAATGCACGGATGAATTATGTAATAATGTTGTTTTTGGTGTCTTCCAGGGTGATAAAATAAACATTTTGTGCGGTGGCGGAGCCCTTAAAGAATTAGATGTAAGTATTATATATGTCATCAATAGAACCTAACGTAATAAAGATAGTTGCCGCAGCCTGCTGTCACGGTCACGCATTTTCAATACTGGTGCTGATTTCAATTTGTTAAGGTCGCGGGTTCGATCCCCGACCGCGTCATACCAAAAGACGTTAACATATGGTACTTGTTGGTCCCTGCCTGGCGCTCGGCATTAATGGGTACAACAAGGACTGGTCGGCTCGGAGTCAGTATAATGTGTCTGAGTGGGGTATTCATGCTTCACTGCGGCATGGTATCTCAGTGGGCTAGCACTATAAAACCAGCTTAAGTCTGGGCTAGTACAAGCAGCCCCACATACACATACACACGCATGCACGTCGTCATATGAGCGAAATATTCTCAAGCACGACGTTAAACCCACTTTCACCTCATCTCAATTTGTTAAATACTTAACGTAGTTGTCCAGAGTGACAAGTCCGTCCCTGTTTGCTCCACCTTCCTTGTTTCTTTCCCAAATTTCATGATGCCTTTCGACTATAATTACATGTAATTATATGTTTAGGATGAAAATTACTTGCCGAATCAAAATTAAACTAATCAATTTTGATTGCATACAAAATATACATGTTTCGAAATCAGTTATCTTAAATTCGAATCTATTTCAGCGATTCAGTTTGAATTTTCTAACTCTTCAATGTTGCGGCATATTAAGTATTGGCACAAGCGAGAGAAGCTGTCGAAACAAAATATCTGATATTTAGTGTCTCGAAAATAAAATTAAACGCTATATGTATACGTTCTGGAGGACAAACACATCCAAACACCATAGCACAAACACACCAAAAGGTATATTATCGCGGAAAATTTGAGTTCTCTGTCGATTTTCGTTTGCTAAATTTGAAATTTGAAATGAGGTAAAGAATCGCCAGGCAGCTGACATATTGTCCCAGGAACAGTATTCTGAAAGGCGACTTTCTGCGTTGTTCACGTTGATGTGTGTTCGTTGCAGGCGTCGGCACAGCTGTCGGCCCGGATATATGCAGGGATGTTTGAAGGGGCTTCAGTCATTCCTGATGTGTGTTTGTCGTTGCAGGCGTCATCGCACAGCTATCATCATCTTGTATAGGATCCATTGTGATAATATACGCATTGGGATACTCCAATGGTAGAATCATCATCATCACCATCTTGAATAGGATCCATTGTGATAATGTTTCAGTAAGAGCACTATTCTCATGGGTTACAATGGATCATCACCACCATCTTGTATAGGATCCATTGTGATAATGTTTTGTAGAGCACTATTCTCATGGGTTACTCAATGGTAGAGTTCTCATCCTCCTCCTCCTCATCATCATCACCATCACCATCATCATCATCACCATCATCATCATCATCTTGTATAGGATCCATTGTGATAATGTTTCACTTTAAGAGCACTATTCTCATGGGTTACTCCAATGGTAGAATCATCATCATCACCACCATCTTGTATAGGATCCATTGTGATAATGTTTCACGTTGAGAGCACTATTCTCATGGGTTACTCCAATGGTAGAATCATCACCACCATCATCTTGTATAGGATCCATTGTGATAATGTTTCACTTTAAGAGCACTATTCTCATGGGTTACTCCAATGGTAGAATCATCATCACCACCATCTTGTATAGGATCCATTGTGATAATGTTTCCTTTAAGAGCACTATTCTCATGGGTTACTCCAATGGTAGAATCATCATCACCATCATCTTGTATAGGATCCATTGTGATAATGTTTCACTTTAAGAGCACTATTCTCATGGGTTACTCCAATGGTAGAATCATCATCACCACCATCTCATCGTGTATAGGATCCATTGTGATAATGTTTCCTTTAAGAGCACTATTCTCATGGGTTACTCCAATGGTAGAATCATCACCATCATCATCTTGTATAGGATCCATTGTGATAATGTTTCACGTTGAGAGCACTATTCTCATGGGTTACTCCAATGGTAGAATCATCATCACCATCATCATCTTGTATAGGATCCATTGTGATAATGTTTCACGTTGAGAGCACTATTCTCATGGGTTACTCCAATGGTAGAATCATCATCACCATCATCTTGTATAGGATCCATTGTGATAATGTTTCACTTTAAGAGCACTATTCTCATGGGTTACTCCAATGGTAGAATCATCATCATCATCATCATCACCATCATCTTGTATAGGATCCATTGTGATAATGTTTCACTTTAAGAGCACTATTCTCATGGGTTACTCCAATGGTAGAATCATCATCATCATCACCATCATCATCTTGTATAGGATCCATTGTGATAATGTTTCACTTTAAGAGCACTATTCTCATGGGTTACTCCAATGGTAGAATCATCATCATCACCATCATCATCTTATATAGGATTCATTTTGATAATGTTTCACGTTTGTGAGCACTATGCTCCAGTGGTAGAAAGCAAGAGAGACATAAAGCTAATTGTTTGATCAGCATTCCAGAAGTTAGTGAGTCAATAACAAAACATACAATTTTATGGATAACGATTTCTTGTATATTGCACAGAGCGCCGTTTCGGTGTCGATTCTTACACGTTTTCAAGCTAAAAGTTACACGGAAACGTCGCTCTGTGTGATTAACAAGAAGTTGTTATTCATAAAGTTGTATGCTTTATTATAGACATAAAGCTGACACATCGTGATATAATTATCATATTGTTCTAATGAGAGTTAAACCCAACTCACTCACTTACTCATTTACATTCCCTCTACTTGCAGGCGCTGTTCGTGTGTCTCGCGCGCATGCTGAAAGATCAAATCTTGGAACAGAGGTCGAAATGGTCCCGGCAATGAGAAGAACTGATGGTACAACAATTCTGGATACATCTTCAGTGGTGTTGTAAAAGACAGGATTATTGAATATGCAAAAATGTAGATCGCAATACGACCTGCAGCTCAAGTGAACTTTGACCTACATACCATATTCGGAGTTGTGATATCATATTCTGGGGGTTTTCCCACCGTGTTTCTGTGCAAAGTATTTTCACAAATCGTTTTTGCTGCATGTTAAGATTTACAAATGTAAGCATTTGTACATAAACTAATTACCTTTAGGGAACTGGAGATGTAGCCTTTACGCTTTCTGCAGGTTGCCATGGAAACGTAGAGAATGCGATATTAGATTAAATTTCGTGATATATACAAACATGAATTGTCTTCACAAAATCATAATTGAAGTGCAGTTACTGGTAGAGGTAAAGTAACTGTGTATGTAAATGTGGCAGAAGCATCAATACATATCATCTACCCTTTTTTCTGAATGATTATTAAATTCATCAGCTAATTAACAGCCTTTACGAAACGGTGTTTCAGATGTAGTTGTTTTGTTGCCTATGTGCTATTAAGAATCTACTGTCACAGAATAGTAAATATTAACTTTATTATAAAATGCTGGACATAGGTCTAGTCTAAATGAGTAATATTTGTGAAGACATGTTTTACGACTGATAACAGTTAACAGTTACATATTCTTGATGTTTTTAATGTTCAGTCAATGATTGCAGCGAATTCTTTTATATGGTCACGTGCTGATATGGCGTCTTAAAGATAGAATACTGATCAAAACGGAGTTAACCCCCTGGATGCCGAGTGTTTTTTCAGGCGCTTATATTCATTAGGTATAAAAAGTGAACGTTGTACGAGAATTGAGCTCGCTTGTACGAGAACTTACACAGAAATGTAGAATATTACATTTCCTATCCATTTGTATAAATTCAAGTGCAAGTACTTAGGCGACATATATGTCCCTCTGGCAACCGGGGGGTTAAAACACTCACTCACTCAGGATACGACCACATGTTCGTTTCACTAAATTACAATCAACGAGCAAAGTTTACCTACGTCATTCTTTGACGTAATTGTTTATCAGTCGCAGTTGATCATCCTTGGTCGTTCCTTGATCATCCGACGAACTAATTGACAGCTTTTAATTAAAAGAATGTTACCGATGGCATGTACTCTGGAAACCTGAATTCCACTATTTTCAACTGCAGTCATCAAGTGGGGTGTATGGAATTGCGAGGTTTACATCTGTAAAAACCAGGACATGACGTCCTACCTGACTGTACATATTTTTCACATTTGAAGCAATAAATATATTTTTGTATTTTACATTTTCTTTTCATGTACTTGAAATTGGACTCCACACAATAGCAAGTTCAGTAGGCATCTCTTTTGAGAGAGCGAAGAAGATACTTGGCAACGAACAGAGATTAAAAACCTTCAGAGATGTCCTCCCTGTCCCATCTGAAATTTTAATGAATTCGAAAATACCTCTTGTGACGTGATCATATTGTTTAAACAAGACTGTTCCTCAGATATCCTCCTGTCCCATGGATATTCTACAGAAAGTCCGAGGATTCGAATCTGTAACCTTCATGTCGATGGCTTAATGACAGAGTCAAAAGTAAACGACCAACACATAACATATATCGATAGCTCCCAAAAGCATAGCCAACGACTTTTGATATCACACTAGAGGGAGCAACTAAATACGTGAGTGAGTGAGTGAGTTTAGATTTACGCCGCACTCAGCAATATCCCAGCTATATGGCGGCGGTCTGTAAATAATCGAGTCTGGACCAGACAATCCAGTGATCAACAGCATGAGCATCGATCTGCACAATTGGGATACGATGACATGTAGTCAACCAGGGTGCTGTTGTACAAACAACCTTAGCGCTAAGGCTACCTTAAGTCTATGTTAAAGTATGGGAGTTACGGTCACCTTAGCGCTAAGATCGCTTTGTACAACGGCACCCAGGTCTGACCACCCGGTCCCGTTAGTCGCTTCTTGCGACAAGAATGGGTTACTGAAGATCAATTCTAACCCGGATCTTCACGGGTAACTAAACACGTCTTGAGATCACTGATATGTATTCAAGTGGTAAATGTATGCACTAATGCTTTGATAGTGTGTTCTTTATGAAAGCCTTTTACAGATTAAGTCAGATCTTTGACATGAGACATAGTTGAGGATGTTGAGCGTGTGAGTGTGCTTGTGCGTGTGCGTGGATATTCAGACAACGTTTTATTCAAAGTGGATTTGATTGATCAACAAATATCTTGTATGTTATACATTAAACAAAACACATTTTCATACATCAAAATATCAGACAGATTGGAAAACAGAGCGAGCACCTCATCCCGGGTATACGATGACCTAAGTCACAATAGAGTACACACGATCAACCTGGTTAAAGTGGACAAGTAAGTGTACATACAGAATAATGTAGTTTGAGTCATCGGTTATCTTGATTAACTAAGTAGGCTGTAATTGTACAAAATTCAGTTGTCCGGAGCATTCCTATTTGTGAGACAAGAGTGGCATATACTTCAACAAAAATTGTGAAATTGAGTATTTACTAGGGCTGCGCAATATAACCGGTTTACCGGTATTTACCGGTTCAGACATGGAATCGATACGTATTGCGATACGCTGATCGAAAACCGGTATTTTGACATGCATTCGGAAAACTTCGTAACACTCGGAAATCTTCGGATATTTCCGTTTTTTAAATTGTTCCTTTCCTTGTTTCATTTGTGCCAAACATTATTTAAATTTATATTTTGCCATGATTAAAAGTTTTCTTAAAGCCTAATCAAGCATTGTGATTTTGTTGTGTTTTTGCTTTACAAATCAAGCATTAACTCGATTATAAGTATTTTTTTTGTTAAAAATAATTCTTGCAATATATTGCAATACATATCGCAATACATGCTTTCGCATCGCAACATATCGCAATACGAAAATTCCCTGCAATACCCACCCCTAGTATTTACAATACCTCGTTGTGTTGTTATAGTTGAACACATGACCAATTTTACTTCTGACAATGCTCTCATTTCATTTGGGGGCTTTTAGTCACTTGACAGTTAAGATTGTACCTATAACCTTTCTATATAAAAATAATTTCCTGTTTCTCATTACCACCCGACCCTAATTTTTAAAATATTCTTTGCACTGGTAAATTTGTGTGTAAAGCCGGCAGACTTCCGAAATCCGTCTCAGCTTCCGGCATTCCAAGTTTTCAACTAACATTGTATAGAAGATCAGAAAAAAAGTTGTTAAGAAATAAAAATAAAAGCCACCCTACCTACCCATTTCTTTTCTTAAAAAGTGATGAGACAAGAAATTTATTTCATGTGGCCTAAAACATAACCATAAACCCCCAATGCATATATATAGACCGCCTCCGTGGTGTAGTGGTTTGAGCGTCCGGTCGGAGAGCGGAAGGTCGCGGGTTCGATCCCCGACCGCGTCATACCAAGACGTTAAAATATGGTACTTGTTGGTCCCTGCATGGCGCTCGGCATTAATGGGTACAACAAGGACTGGTCGACTCGTAGTCAGTATAATGTGTCTGAGTGGGGTATTCGTGCTTCACTGCGGCATGGTATCTCAGTGGGCTAGCACTATAAAACCAGCTTCAGTCTGGGCTAGTACAAGCAGCCGCACATACACACATACACACGCATGCACGTCGTCATATGAGCGAAATATTCTCAAGCACGACGTTAAACCCAATTTCACCTCACCTCACCCAATGCATATACGTCTTTGAGCGACACAACCGACAATGCTAATATTTAGCGGTCAGCAATACAGCATAGAAAATGAGAGTTACCTACCTTAGAAAGATTTGTTTGGATCCACGTTTGTTCGATTTCCATGCGATATAATAATTTCCTCCAAAATGAGCGATGCACGAGGGGAAAGAGAACTCAGGGCGGAAGGTGTTAGGAAAAGGAGGCCAAAAAGTGAGAAACCGTAAGGTGCAGAATTAACATGTTCTGATAGTGGTAGTCAACGAGCAATTTCCCGTATTCATTGTGCTATTTCGTAACTTAATATTGTTTTAGCTCCAAGGTCGTTTCATGAGCAGGATGTTTCTTAGTCCTAGGTCATTAAGTATCTCATTTAGTTGGTTCTGAAAACCTCCCATGAGTAAGGTACAGAATTAACATGTTTCGTGGACCGTCAACATTGTAATTCATGCAGGACAGAAAACTGTGTCCGTATCATGTCATGTTATATGGGGAAACCCCGAATGCCACTGAAAACAGTTTTACATTGCACTTGTAATGTGATTTTGTAAGATAATACATGTACTTTCAAATCTTCAAGTACATTATGTAAGCAATGAAAGGAAATACAGAAAATAGATAGGAAGGAGATATAGAAGTTAAGTAAATTTTCTCTGTTATGTTCGTACATGTTAAAATATGTCTAAGACAGACAACGAGCAACATACTATACATCCCATGGTACACTGATACAGCAAACCACTGAAAACCTGAACTTATATAACCTGTGTACAGAACTGTCTTTAAATGTGTTGGAAAAATTAAAAACATCTCCGTTTGTAAACAAACAATACTAAATTTTGAGGCGGATATTATTGTGGAAAGGCTTAATCAGAATGCATGGTTTTCTTTAGTTTTGTTTATAAATTTTGCCATGTTTATGTCTACTTTTACAGCTGTGGCATTTCTTGTTGCTCTGCATCAGAACAAACAGTTAATTGGAAAAGATGGCCTTCTCCCAGCACATAAATATCTCAATAACATCAAGAACAGAGTTGGCGGAATAAAGCAAGACATGTTCATCAACTGTCCCAGTATTATCTGGTTGTTCAACTACAACACACACCTGGATCAGATCCTCGACTACCTGGCATACACAGGCTTGGCTCTGTCTCTGTTTGTTGTGATACGCGGAGCTGCAAACTGGTTCATTATGTTGTCTCTGTGGGTGATTTACCACTCTATTGTCAGTGTTGGACAGCAGTGGTAAGTATATTGTTTAAGACTGGCTGTTGATATAGATCATATAGATCAATAATCATTAACTGTTAGTATAGATCAATTATCACGGAAAAAAAGTTGAAAAAAAGCCCAGCAATTTCTTAATTCAAGTTTATGCATTTATGTATTGATCACTATTGAAGAAATAATTTAGAAATGACCTGTAATTTGTATGTTGTGTGTGTTAATTTAAATTTTATTTTCTCACATTACAATTAGTTTATGCAAGATACTATTTGATGACACAGTTTTCATATTGATAATCATTAACAATTCCTCCCATCATTGATATTTCCTATTATCATCTTCTTTTTTTGCCAGCCCTAATATTTAGTTAATATTAATAATAATTAATTGATATGAGTAAACTGTACTTTCTTATCTATGTTTTTTCCTTTCCTTTTAGGTTCAGCTTTGGTAAGTTGATATTGCTGTTGATGTAACACTTTGTTTCAGTATATAGTTTTCTTTTGTGGGGATGCGTGGTAAGGATATAGGTCCTTGTGGGGATGTAGGTTTTTGACAAACTTTGCTCATTTGAGTGTACAGAATATGTTGTGTTGTCATGCTGAGTGACTATCTTATCATCATATCCTGATAATGTGGATCAATGCTCAGGATGTCAATCACTGGATTGTCTGGTCCAGAATTAACATTTTAAAGACCGCCATTATTAAGTTTGAATATTGTTGAGTGAGGTGCTAAGAGCTCAGGTCATAATCAGTTGAAGTTAAGCAACGTTGGTCGCGGACAGTCCTCGGATGGGTGACCATGTTTGGCAGCTTGACTCCTGAAAGTTTCTAGGACTTCAGTCCTGCCCCACAACGAACGAAGCCATGTGACGCATGTGGTCTCACCTTAGGCAAGTGAGTTTGTTCAAAACTGCCTCTGTCCACCCAGCAGTAAAATTGGGTACCTGGTATGATACGATGGTAGTCTGAATTTGAACCTTGAGTGCCTGACAAGCGACCGGTTGTATTCTCCACATGGAGTGTTCTGTACTCGTTGACCAGGGGTAATATGTCAGCGCTTTGAGCATGCAATGTGCTTGGATAAACGCGCAATATAAATGGACTATTATTATTATTATTATTATTATTATAAACAAATGTCCACTCTGTGTAGAGTATCAAGTTTATCTGAAATATCAGTGCCTGCTAATATGTCAAGCAATTCCATACATTTGCTATTAACTGGGTATGTGTCTTGCTAATTTTGTTCATATCCCCTGCATTTCTGCTTTGGTAGGTTGGGAGTCCCAGCTACTGGAGACTGGTTTCCTGGCGATATTTCTGTGTCCTGTGATGAACCTGTCCACCGTTCCACAACACACGCCCACATCACTTATTATCATCTATGCATACAGATGGCTCATCTTCCGCATCATGTTAGGAGCGGTTGGTATTAAGTTAACAGTAAAACACAAGTATCATTCATCGATGGATGGGTTACCCGTGAAGATCTGAGTTAAAATTGATCTTCAGTAACCCATGCTAGTCCTAAGAAGCGACAAATGGGATCGGGTGGTCAGGCTTGCCTCACTTAGTTGACACATGTTATCATATCCAAATTGCATAGATTGATGCTCATGCTGTTGATCACTGGATTGTTTGGTCCGGACTCGATTATTTACAGACCATCGCCATATAGCTGGAATATTGCTGAGTGCGGGGTAAAACTAAACTCATTCATGGATGGTGGGTGGGTGGGTGGATGGTGGATGGATGGATGGGATGGATGAATGGATGAGATATTATTGAGATGTCATCTCAGTTTTACCTGTATTGAAAGCCTAATGCCATTATGTGAATTGTAACAATTGCAAAGCATTGAATTTGAATTTTAGTGTTTGTCACACTTTCTTATCACGGTTATAGGGTCTGATCAAGATCAGGGGAGACCAGTGTTGGAGAGACCTTACTTGTATGAACTATCATTATGAGGTAAGAGAACGTCTTTAAATTGGGTGTCTTTTTTCTCAGTTATGACGTCAAAGTGACGACGTCTTTAAGAGAAGGACCTTAAGGAGAAATTTATACTGAATTCGGAATATTATCAGAAATGATGCATGAAATACCTACACTTGGTCAATATTTATGCCTGTGATTTATGTTTAATTTCACCCAAATCTGTGAAGTGTAGCTTTTGTGTTGCAAGTTCCAACATTGTCTTTAAAAACTTAAGGAGAAATTTATTGACATAATGCTTACACAAAAACCTGACTCACTTTCAATAGTTCATAAAATCAGAAATGGTTTGTGAAATACATGTACGGTATATTATGTCGAGTTTAAGTAGTAAATACCTGCTTTTTTATTTAGATTTACTGTTACGAAGTATGTTATTTCGTCTAATTTAGATGTGAGATTACATTTTAACTCACTTGTCTAATTTACTGCAAATGTATAATGACATTGAAGTTGTACCTTCTTGTCAGACCCAGCCGGTGCCGAACCCCCTGAGCTACTACCTGCATCAGTCTCCTGAACTGATACACAAGATGGAGACACTCGGCAACCACTTCATCGAACTTGTGGCTCCATTCTTCCTGATCCTGGGACGGAGAATGACCATCATTGGTGGAGGAATACAGATCTTCTTTCAGGTACGTCCAGACAGCTAATCTCATGTCAAGCTTTGGAGAAGCGACACTTTTTAAGTTTTAGGGTAGTTTTTCATGGACGTAAAAGTATATTCACACTTATAAAAAATCACAGGTATGTTTACGAGCACCACATTAGGTGAGTGAGTGAGTTAAAATTTAACATAACATCTGTTATGACGGACGATCTAAATTTACAGCTAGCCAGCCCGATGGTCTGGTAAAATTTCAATAACATGTTCCATGCATCTGAGTAATTGTCTTTGGATTTTGAACATTTTGAAGTTACCAGCCCTGATGCCTGGCTGGATTTTCGGCTTATTTCATACACTGATAACATCGGTAACATATCAGACATATCATGATGATCACCCTACTAGTGAATGAGTGAGTGACTGAGTTTAGTTTTACGCCGCTTTTAGCAATATTCCAGCAACATCACGGCGGGCTACACCAGAAATGGGCTTCACACATTGTGCCCATGTGGGGATTCGAACCCGGTTCTTCGGCGTGATGAGCCAACGCTTTAACCATTAGGCTACCCCACTGCCCCTCACCCTACTAGAATTTATGGATGGAACTGGAGTATGCTTGGTCTAAGACTCAGCTACATTGTTTGTTTTACAGGTTGTGTTAATCACCAGCGGTAACCTGAGTTTTCTCAACTGGTTGACCATTGTTCCTAGCCTGGCTTGTTTTGATGATCGCAGTTTAAGTTGGATGTTCTCTCGGCGTTCTCGGTCTGTCAAGTGTCGGGTAGCCCAGATACAGCACCAGATGGAAACTGGAAAATTGACACCTAAACTGGGTAAGGCTATCATTGGTCATCCTCTATACATGTATCTCCAGGGTTTGCATTTGGAAGAACCTGCTCTTTATTCGTGGATCCATTCCTGTTGTTTTTGTGATTGGAACTGATCTGACTTTGAAGTTTATACCGACCAATCAAATGTTGACATTATGGAAAGGGTAGGGAGGTAACTCATATTGTATGTCCTAGAAATCAAAGCCATTGTCATTTTTAATGGACATAAAGACATCCTTTCCTTTAAGAATAGTTTCGAGATCTTTTTTTAACATGTTAATGAGGTTTTCAATGTTGAATTTCTCACAAACTTGATGATAATCAGTGTGACTTGCCACCAAGTTGCTGATACTGCCAATTCAACTTTGAGGCTAGTTCTGATTGGAAAGTTACACTAGTAATCACAGTGAATGAAACTGGGAAAAGGAAATCAAGTGCAGATTATTTGACAACAACCTCAGGGACGGATCCAAAGGTTAGTGTAGGTTTATCGAAATGCTAGCCGTGGAGATACAGAAGATGGTCATTGGTTTGTGTAGTGTAATATCAATAATAATAGTGCATATTTATAATGCGCACATATCCACGCTTGCTCTTGCGCTAACACATTACTACCCAAGCTGCCTGTTAGGCCTGAAGGTTATAGTCACATGACATAGTCACATGACATCCCACTAGGTACCCAAACTCACTTGCCGAAGGTGAGACCACATGTATCACATGTACTTCATTTTGGGACAGGAATGAAACTCTCAGGAGTCAAGCTGTCACACATGGTCACCCATTCAAGGACTCTCCACACCCAACATTGCTTAACTTCAACTGATTGTGACTCGTGAAGATCCGGGTTAGAATTTATCTTCAGTAACCCATGCTTGTCATAAGAGGCGACTAACGGGATTGGGGGGTCAGGCTCGCTGACTGGGTGGACACATGTCATCGTATCGCAATTGCGTAGATCGATGTTCATGCTGTTGATCACTGGATTGTCTGGTCCTGGTCTGATTATTTACAGACCGCCGCCATATAGCTGGAATATTGCTGAGTGTGGCGTAAAACTAAACTCACTCACTCACTCAACTGATTGTGACCTGAGCTCTATACCCAGGACCACACACCACCGCAATATCAATATAACAAAATAAATGATATATGTTTTGTATTTGTTTGAACATAAATCAACTTACTTTTGAAACAATCTAATTATGGAAATAATGAGTGTCACAAAACAAGATATTTTTATAACACCAGCTCAATATTTATGCTTTTGGTTACCTATGTGTACAATACTTTGCAGGGGGTTATATCAGGAGAGTTTTCAACATCAGCTTTGGCCTCCTCATAGCCTATCTGAGCATCCCTGTTGTGCAGAACCTCCTCTCAAAGCGGCAGGCCATGAACACATCGTTCGACTCGCTGCGACTTGTCAATACATATGGTGCTTTCGGCAGGTATGTTTCTGTGTTGGTGAGTTAGGATCAATAAAGCTTTGAACAGCATTTCAGTTTTACCAGGGTGAGGTGGCTTGTGGGAGGAAAGTGACGCAGGTACTTGTTTGGTGAAACCCACAGGTATGTGAAGGGTACAGCAAATTTAGAAATTAAATTGTGGTGACTGGTCTCAGAAACTTATTTCGCAAAATGATGTTAAACCAACTCTTCTCTGAAACCAAGAGACTTTGGAAGCTGAACTTTTGCAAGAATGTTTCTTGTAGCCATATTTTGTTCAAATCATTTCACTTTAGTGTTAATTTTTAGTTCCCAGGATTTATGCAGAAAATATTTGAATGTCATTCTATTCACAATGTTCCAGCAAGTATCTGCCTATGTTGACATATTATACTACGGACAGGTGAGCTTGACTGTGGCATTATTTCAGTGGATGTTATGAGAGAAAGACATGTTTGGTTCATGAATATTTCAACCTATCAATTGTTGTTTTGTCCAATTTATCAGTGAAATATTCTGCATTTTATGATAAGACATACAATGTACTTTTAAGACAGTGACAGTGATATTTAATACACCTTCCAGTATTACCAAGGTGAGAACAGAGGTCATTATGCAAGGGACCTCGAGCAGTGACCCAAACGACCCCAGTGCCAAGTGGCTGGAGTATGAGTTTAAGTGTAAACCTGGCAACATCACACGGCGGCCATGCATCATCTCCCCGTATCACTACAGGATGGACTGGCTCGCATGGTTTGCAGCTTTCCAGGTGTGTATGTCACGTTCTTATATTATTGGACGATTTACTCAGGTAGGATGCCTCTCTGTGTGGTGATCAGAGGACACCTTCTTTTGAGGGCTTGTCAGGTGGACCTGGAATGATCTTTTTCTGCCCTATCTTATTGAAGGATGTACTGCTTCTGGAAACGTTCAGGTAGCAACATTTTAAACTATTCAGCCTAATTTGTTTACCATCTCAAATTGGAAAACTTTGATTTCAACAAAAGATAGCCCAATGGTTAAAGCATTCATTTTTCATGCCAAAGACATGCGTTTGATTCCCAACATGGGTATTATGTGTAAAGTCAATTGATATGACTGGAATATTGTGTAAATGGGTCTAAACGCTATACTGTCATTGATTACACACACAACCTCACTGACTAATGGTCAGAAATTAAGCATGAATGACAATGTGTCCTTATCATATCCCTTATGTTAAATGTTTATGAATTAGGAGGTCACTTGATTCAAATATTAAAGAAGAAAACTTCAAAGACCGTCCATCAGTTTCAAACACTGCATAATGCCACTGCCTTTCTTGATATAATACCCACTGCAGACTTAAAAAACCCAAAGTGTGTATTTTGTGAAACTAAGGTAAAAGTCACCAGTTAAGGAAAGTAGATATAAGAAAGCAACCTTGGCCCACTGTTTTCAGGGTCTGTACAACAGCTGTGGGGGCATTTCATGGCAGCCATGTTGGTTAGTGAAGGAATGATAACGATATATGGATGCATAACTTCTTTATATAGAACTAATTAACAGTGGGGGTGATGTTTTAATACCACTATCAGGCAAGTGAACTTCAATTCAATTGCTCTCACAGTAATAATGAAGTTGTTTATTCATGTATTGTTATTATTCCTTGCCAGTCCAACTTCTAAATGCCTCTCAAGGAAGTAATCCATGTTGGTTGTTCAGGATGTATTATATAAAAATAAAATTTTGAAAGCTAGAAAAATGGTTTGACATGACAAGAACCATTTATGGGAATGTAATCTGAACCGTTTGTTGCAGAATTACCAACACAACCCTTGGCTGGTGCATGCTGCCTTGAAGTTTCTGATCAACGATGAAGGAACAACGTCTTTGATTGCTCACAATCCATTTGAAGGTCGAGCACCACCAAAGTATGTAGACAGTTGTCAGTAGGATCTTATGTAGCATTGTTAGCATCCTTGATAATCCTTCAAGGATTTTGATAGTTTTTTAGGACTTCTTGTCTACTATTTTCATAGTTACGCCTGCATTGTATTATTGGACACATACAATATGTAAAGAATGCAGTCCTGTCAGGATCCTGTAAACAATTCAGTCCTTTTCTTGGTGTGGAGTGGGTCTCACCCCGCAGATGACATCCTTACTGTCTTTTGGTCACATGGACAAGGCGTCCAACTTTGGATCAGAAGATCTGGGGTTCAAATGCCACCATAGAATTCAGAAATTTTATGGCCACTACATTGGCACCATTGCTGGACTGAGCATGTTCTTCTTAAATATGTAAAAAATAAGTGTCAGATCACTACTGTGATCTGCCTTCTGTTGATGGGAGTATATTGAAAGGGGTCGAGTCATCGCACAGATTAACATATGTACCTTGTCAGCTTGTGGACAAGGCATCCTCAGATTTTGGATCAAAAGGTCCTTGAAATGTTATGGGCACTAGATGAGCATATAAACCTGTAGTGACAGATTAACATATGTACCTTGTCAGCTTGTGGACAAGGCATCCTCAGACTTAGGATCAGAAGGTCCTTGAAATGTTATGGGCTCTAGATTAGCATATAAACCTGTAGTGACAGATTAACATATGTACCTTGTCAGCTTGTGGACAAGGCATCCTCAGACTTAGGATCAGAAGGTCCTTGAAATGTTATGGGCTCTAGATTAGCATATAAACCTGTAGTGACAGATTAACATATGTACCTTGTCAGCTTGTGGACAAGGCATCCTCAGACTTAGGATCAGAAGGTCCTTGAAATGTTATGGGCACTAGATTAGCATATAAACCTGTAGTGACAGATTAACATATGTACCTTGTCAGCTTGTGGACAAGGCATCCTCAGACTTAGGATCAGAAGGTCCTTGAAATGTTATGGGCACTAGATTAGCATATAAACCTGTAGTGACTGAATGCTCATCTGATATCTGACTGCAGTGCTGTAAAGTTGGTGAGTGTCCACGTTTGTTGCATGTGTCCCCAAATGTCAGATTATAGACAATGCATATTATAGATGGTCACATTTATCCATGTAATACATCAAGCAAATAATACCGCTTATACTTGCAGGTTTATCAGAGTGGAACATTACCGATATGCCTATACCAAAATTGGAAGCAAGGAAGCCAAGTCTGGAGCCTGGTGGCGCCGTAAACACATTGGGAACTATGTCCCGCCAATATCACTGAGAGCTGCACGAGACATTGCCAGACAGATGGACTGGGACATACCTAGGTTGAAGAAGAAGTAACCATGACAACGCTCCAGGGGAAGCAAACTGTGTACTAATTGATGATGCCTACTTCCTGGGCGTGAGAATATTGTTTAAGTGGATTTGGTTCTTTTGAGTTATGCCTAGGGTGTTTTATCAAATATTGTCAAGCTTTTCTTTAAATCTACTTGAGGCAGAAAATGTTTGTAAGATTATTTTTAAACTTATTGATTTTATAGTTTTACAGATAAGACTATGCTACATATTTCAAAATTAAAAATAAATTAATTTTGAAATAATTGTCTTATTAGTGTATTTCAGTGAAAACAGTTTTATTAAGAGTATATTTTCAGAAAGAACCCAGGTCCATCTTTGTGTATATTTTGGTCTTGTTCTCTGCTATAACATTGCTCTGTAGGGCTGGGGATGGAACAATGCAATAACTTGTTAAGTTTTTGGTTTGAGAAACTACAAGAACAGCAACATTCCATACTTCCAGTTTATATTTAGACTTTCACTATATCTCTCCAAATGTGTTATTGATGCGATAAGAAATGTTTTGAGTTCCATGATCTCACCTCTGAAAATGGAACCAGTTGAGGTAATACAAACCTAGATATTGATAAAAGTGTTTGTATGCATTGACCATAACCATTAAATGTGAAAGAGCAATCTCTTTTATGTACGTACTTGCAGACAACAGCTGACCAAGCATTTACACCTAAATGTGAAACACATTAAAATACACACACACTAAAAGTGTCAGTTTCTATAATTGCTTCTTGGTAATTCAGTTGTTGAATTGGTTGTCAGAACTCTATGTGTTAAAAGATCGGGATCCGGTGGTTACAGTGTGCCAACTGATTGTTGTTGTTCATGCTGTCGACCACTGATGTCTCTGTCCCTGACTGGCTACATGAGATATCAGGGATATTGATGATTGAGTGTATAAACAATATTTATTCACTCACTCATTCTGTCTTTTTAGCTCACTCTACTATTGATCGTGTTTTATCTTGTTTTTCTATGTCGAGTTTATGAAAACTTATTGTGTGCGTAATGTTATATGTTTGTTGTTATATTTGTTGATGATACAGTCCCATTGTCCCACTTATGTCCTACAATATGTTGTTGTGGTTGATGGTTATAAAAGTTGATATCAGTGAGAAAATGTTTGTGTGTGCAAGTGTTTCAGTGAAGATGACCACATATCTGTAATGCCAAAATTAATAGTCTCAAAGCACTTCATAATCCACAGTATAGTGGTGAAGGTGTGATCAAAAGTACTAGTGATGATATGATCCACAGTACTGGTGAAGATATGATCTACAGTACTGGTGAAGATATGGTCTACAGTACTGGTGATGATATGATCCACAGTACTGGTGATGATATGGTCTACAGTACTGGTGAAGATATGGTCTACAGTACTGGTGATGATATGATCTACAGTACTGATTGTATGATCTGCAGTACTGGTATGATCTGCAGTACTGGTGATATGATCTGCAGTACTGGTGATGATATGATCTACATTACTGGTGGTATGATCTGTACAGTACTGGTTGCATGATCCACAATACTGGTCGTATGATCTACATTACTGGTGATGATATGATCTACAGTACTGGTAGTATCATCTGCAGTACTGGTCGTATGACATACCACGCAGAGTACTCATTGTGTGACATACGATACTTGTGATAAATGAAAAAGACTTCTGAAACTTCAGCTCTGTCTAATGAAACGTCTGTTATCAAAACAGAAAGGGACTTTCATGGAGTTTTGTCGTCAATATAGTGTCCTGGAAATTGATATTGTAAAGTGCTAAGAACATCGGGTAGTGTTTGTTAGAGTTTGTCGCGAAATGTGCTCAATCATTGGTGTATATGTTTCATCGTCATAATTTAATTGAAAATAATGGATTGATTCCTGATGAGCTAATAAACAACGATACAAAGAAATGTGATTCTGTAGTATTTTGCGGGACTGCCGAGCCAAGAAAAGCCGGGCGCATCTGGGCATTTAAACTTCCAGCTTTGAGCTTGATCTCCAGATGTAGCTGTCTTTTGTGTTATCAACCCTTATTATCCTATAAAAACAGTGCCTTTGCTGAAGAAGAAAATCGACAGTATCAGTATGCCATGTGTAGGGTTTGAGTATTACCAGGCAAACAGTTTTATTATACATACATTTGGTTAAAAAAATCATAAAACGTGCATTCTCCCTAGGAAATTAACACTGTAAGCCCACATGCACATTTAAACTGATCCAGAATGAATCTACGTTTCACTAGAGTGTTCAACTGTAAGTCAGTTAAGCAGCTGCCCAAGCATCCAGCAGAATGAAAAAGTAAACACAGTTGGTTTGGTATTTGGTTGGTGAAAGACAATTTCTTTTCAAAATGGTAATATTGTTTTATAACATAATCATGGTCTCAGATTCGATAAAGCTGACAGATCAGTCTGAATACACTATTCTAAAAAGTCACGACAGACATCTTCGCTGGCACATAATCTGGTTGCAGCTGATAGCCGCCACCGCGAAAGTAAAGTCTATTCAGAAACACTACTTTCGCAGGTCCTCCCGTTTAGCGGTGTCAAATACTGTTCTTACTTTTTTTTAAAATGGCAACGTAAACGGTTCCTACATTATTCCTCTATGTGGCAAGTGTGTCGATATATTTCAAGCAGAAACTTCACAAAAAACAAAAACTAAGAGATAATGATAATAATTTTCATATTTATATTGCTTCACATTCATACCAACAGTGTGTTTAAAGCAAATGCTGACAAAAACGGCAGCGAAACGTAAGTATTTCATATGGCGAAAATGGCAAAATTTTGGATATAACACAGCACAATATCATCCCATCCCAGCTTGATGGTTAACGATCACGTTTTCCTACCGGGTACCCATTTACTGCTGGGTTAATGGTGGCGTATTATGAACAAAGTTATTTGTCAAAGGAAACGCCACCTGTAACGCGATTCACAGTTAGGCAGGACAAAATTGTACAAAATTGATGGACCAACCAACCAACCAACCAACCACCAACCAAACCCCCAAGTATGCGCACACGTACAAAATTGATTCTTCCCCAGCTCGCCAGAACAAAATGGATGACCCCCCTTGAAACCATCATCACCCCCAGCCATAAATTATGAACGGTCCCTTATGTGACCTGTTTTCTGTACAGAGAACCTGAGTGAGAACATATTATTTTACAGCGACGCGTTAAAACCAACTCACTTAATCAGTTATTCGCTGCAAACGATTATTCTCCTTTAACATGCCGTATACTAGTAACCTCATACACCTGTGCCTGACCACAGCCCCCCGTGTCTTTGCGAGGATTAAAGATTTTAAAACATATATAAAAATTTGAGATGACCCCCGACTCGAAATGCTTCACAGTACAATACATCATGACTGCCATGATGTATTGTACTGTGAAGCATTTCGAGTCGGAGGTCATCTCAAAAACAATTACGGAAAGGGTATTTGAGTACCAACGTGAGGCAGCTAGTTTGCGTGATCTAGACTTTTCTCTTCGAACAATTCAACTGGATTTCTAGATTTTACATAATGAATATTTCACATTATTTACAGTAACGCGGATTAGCTCTTAGCGCATTGCCGGAAGAGCCACATTCACACGATCACTCAACCATGCCCATTGCCGGAAGAGCCACATTCACACGATCACTCAACCATGCCCATTGCCGGAAGAGCCACATTCACACGATCACTCAACCATGCCCATTGCCGGTTGAGCCATACCATTTTCAACTCTGTTTTTCTTAAATGTGGCTTTCCCGGGTTGTAACCCATTGCAGCATGTCATGAACCTAATTATGATAATTGTTTATTCACGTGTTACACATGCACGCACACGCACACATATCGTTTGTGGGAGTAATTTCAAATTACATATCATATTACATTACATACAATCGATTTCATGGGGGACGTTTTTTCACTTGGATGTGCTTATAATGGATACGATTCCATTTATTTTTCCGTCATATTACATTGATTATTTTTATATTAACGCAATACCTAGCACCAAGAATCTGAGCTTCTTTTGTGGTTGCAATATAAATATTGGCCGGGTACGCTATCAGCACGGCCCCACCTCTATCCAGTGAAAACATATGGAAGATTTTTATTCACGAGCAATTCTGTATGATTACAAAAAGATATATGAACCTTATTTTTCAAGGCGTACATATTTGTAAATATCGTTTAAATGTTTTTAGCGGTAAGTTTCGAATGAATTATACGAGAGTTATCTACCTTTGATATTTACAAACTCGATGGTACCCAACCTGTTGATATCAGATATTTTTAATTTGTAACAATCATGAGTAATTTAAGAAGTGATAGTAATGATAGAGAGGAGGATTTGAGATTGAGAAAGAGGCGGAAGAAGAAAGACGTGGATGACAGTGACCCTATTAGTGAAAAATACGTGTCGGAAGGGAGTGTCTGTCACATCGACACGAGCGATAGTGGCAGTAGAGACACAGAGACTAAGAAGAAAATCATTGGTGGTCTGCACAAGGGAACATTTTGGTTGACAAGGATTGTTATTTTAAGATCTTTTGGATTCGTCTACTGTGAGTGAACTGCTATTGTAGCCGAGAGCCGCGATGCGATTGTAAATAGTGAAAGAATTGATTAGGCATGGACGCTGATTTAGATTGCGTATTTGGGCAATATTATTTTCAGTACACCGTGGAAGATGCATATTCCTCATGCTTTCTTATCAGATAATAACAAAGTCAGGGACTATATTCTCGATAGCGTACTTTTCCAGTTTAGGCCTAGATTTTGTAAGTTGTGTAATGTGTGAGACCACAAGTTATATGTGACGTCTACATCTAGGGTCCAGCGTGAATCCAAGACATTGCCTCGGCAATTAGAGCTGTACTATACATTGTATACTTTTATGCTGTGCAATATCATGTGCTTGAAGTAAGCAACCAACCAGTGGGGTTGGATTTACTTGAATCAAACATATATGTTTGACCAATCAGTATTTGAACATTTTCCTGCATTATTTAAAGCATCATATGCTTTGTCCACAGGGGCTTGTAAATTAAAAACTGCCACCAAGGTATGTACTGTCACTAACAGGGTATTAGCATTTTGTAAAAGGATCCTTTTATATAGTGCTAAGACCCTGTTAGTGACAGTACATACCTTGATGGCAGTTTTTAGCGTTACAAGCCTGTGCTTTGTCTGAGTCTGGTTCAATACTAGACCATATAGGCTACAGTTATAATCTTTTCTTCTTTTAGTCTGGCTGACCATAATATTCTCATCTGCAAATTGTCTTTGTGTAATTGCTATTAATTTACAAAATAAAATGAATTCTTGTTTTTTGTGTGTTTCAACTTTCAGTCGTTGCTTTCCTTGTGGCCTTGAATCAGAATAAACAGCTGATAGGTAAAAATGGCCTCCTACCTGCCAACCAGTATCTTAATGACATTAAGAAAAAGACAGGTGGAATTAGCTGGGATGCGTTCAACACATGCCCCAGTGTCATCTGGTTTTTCAACTACAACACACACCTGGATCAGATCCTCGACGTCCTGGCGTACACAGGCTTGGCTCTGTCTTTGTTTCTTGTCATACGAGGAGCTGCAAACTGGTTCATCATGTTGACTCTGTGGATGATTTACCACTCCATTGCCAATGTTGGACAAAAATGGTAGTTATGTTACTTTTCTGATTAGTTTTTAAGTAAAGTAGATTTTCTATGATTGACTAGTATGCTTGTTATTCTCTACTGCCATTGAATATACTTAGTGTTGTTCAATCTATGTTACTAATTTGTAGACATTTTGGTCAGATACATTGTACCTGCAAAATGCTATTTTCTCAGAGGATGGTCAGCTGTTGACTCCTATGTCCTGTACTTGAGAAATATAAAATTAAAACTTCTTGACATCTAAATCTTGATTTATGTTTTCGTTTTTTTTCCAGGTACAGCTTTGGTAAGTAATAAGTCTAATATATTGGACCTTAGAATGAGTTCATGATATTTGAAAAAAAATTAGACACTTTATAAAACACAAGTAATGAAACTCTAATTGTATTGCTTATTTATTGTTTGTGTATAATTTGGTTTCAATCTCAAGTCTGCAGTTACTATGGTGACAGTCTATGATGTTTAGTTGCTGACTGTGTTTTCGGGGCGGTGGGGTAGCCTAATGGTTAAAGTGTTGGCTCGTCACGCCGAAGACCCGGGTTCGAATCCCCACATGGGCACAATTTGTGAAGCCCATTTCTGGTGTCCCCCGCCATGATGTTGCTGGAATATTGCTAAAAGCGGCGTAAAACCAAACTCAGTCAGTCAGTCAGTGACTGTGTTTTCATCCTAGTCTAGATGTGAGATGGTTATTACCTGATGACACAACAACTGGGAACTAAGAACATCATGGTTGAACCTGAAATATTCCAAAAGGACTTATTGTCATTTCAAAAATTTGTGTAGGTTGGGAAAACCAAATGCTTGAGACGGCATTCCTGACAGTATTCCTGTGTCCGGTGTGGAACCTGTCATCCATTCCACTGCACACCCCGACATCTTTCATCGTTATATGGGGTCTTCGATGGCTACTCTGCAGAAGGATGATCGGAGCAGTTGGTATTCACAGAATTAATCAGTACAGACAGCGATGGTGAAGCAATTAAAATGCATACACTGACATTTAAGTCAAAGTATCCCAAAATTACATTACAGGGAAACTTGGTACAGGCCTGTTGTCATTTCTACAAAGTTTGAATCAAGTCAACTTAGACCCCCTCTTCTTTGCCATATTAATTGTGAAGCCAAATTTCATATGAAGTTAATAATTACCCTGATCAGACAGAAAATAACCAAGACTTTGTCTAGGGTGCTTTAAGATTGTATCAATACCCGAGCTAATCCACAACAGATTAGCTGCAAATCAATGTACCATATTTGTCATAATAAGGACCCTGGATGCTTAGATATTATCCAAGGGAAGCACTTATTAAAATACAGGTATAATTTGTTTTTAGAGATGGCATGTTTAAGAATGAATATTGTTTCTCACATCAATAAAACTAAAATCATTTCAATAATAATTACAAGGCAGTTATAGACAATTTCTTTGCTACAGATTTTTGTTATATACACAAGATACTGTCAATTTTGGCTTAGTCTGGGGTTAAAAGAAAACTTACAGGTTTGTCCAGAAATTGATCACTGGACACTTCATGCAGACAATACAGTATTTGGTGAATCTGCCCCTTGTAATATAAGGAATCAATCAAATATTTAAGATAAGATTGTTGGTGTATCATAAAAAAACTGTTCATATTGTATTGTGGAGGAGATGAGAGGCTAAACTTAACTATTATATTCTTTCAGGGATTGATCAAGATAAGGGGAGACAAATGCTGGAGAGATCTAACATGTATGAATTATCACTATGAGGTAAGAAATATGATCAGCTGACATTTTGTCTGAAGACTGTCAGATGTACCAGTCATGGACAGTAGTAACCATGGTAACGCAGAAATTGCATAGGTCTAGTATAGAACAGTTGCTTTAGAATCTAAAAAGTCATTACATCTAAACAGCATCTCAGGGTCACTTTCAAGATCCTGACTTTTTCATATTTTCTTATATCTTTTCATATATTTCTCTGTCTGTTTCTTGGATTTCAAGTTGGGCACAATGTGTGAAGCCCATCTCTCGTGTCCCCCACCATGACATTACTGGAATATTGATAGAAGCGGTGAAAAATCATACTCTCCAACTCGCATGTATTTCAAGTTGTACTTTTTGTCAGACCCAGCCGGTGCCAAACCCCCTGAGCTACTTCCTGCATCAGTCTCCTGAACTGATACACAAGATGGAGACACTTGGCAACCACTTCATCGAACTTGTGGCTCCATTCTTCCTGATCCTGGGACGGAGAATGACCATCATTGGTGGAGGAATACAGATCTTCTTTCAGGTACATCCAGTCAGCTAATGCAAAGTCATGCAAAGCTTTAGTGAACCAATTGATGCTCTTTTGGGGTATTTCTATTATTATTTTTTTTAAAGTATGTCCAAAATTGATTTTAAATTATGATAAGTTTTGTGGCCCAGTGGCCATTGCAGTAATAACTTGGCTGTGTTTTACCCATTTCCTCTGAGTGAGTGAGTTTAGATTTATGCTGCACCAGAGACCATATAATAGATTATGTTGTTATTATTATTATTATATAGTCTCTGGCTGCACTCAGCAATATTTCAGCTATATTCCGGCAGTCTGTAAATATACGAGTCTTGACCAGACAATCCAGTGATCAACAGCATGAGCATCGATCTATGCAATTGGGATACAATGACATGTGTCAACCGAGTCAGCAAGCCTGAGCACCCGATCCCATTAATTGCCTCTTAATTACGACGAGCATGGGTTACTGAAAATCAATTCTTACCGGATCTTCACAGGTCCATTTCCTCTGAAGCTTCATTGAATAATAATTATCAATATAAGTATTGTTTGTTTTACAGGTCGTGTTAATCACCAGCGGTAACCTGAGTTTTCTCAACTGGTTGACCATTGTTCCTAGTCTGGCATGTTTTGATGATCGCAGTTTAAGTTGGATGTTCTCTGGGAGTTCTAGGTCTGTCAAGTGTCGGGTAGCCCAAATACAGCACCAGACAGAAAGTGGAATAATTATGAAATGTGAGTGTGTTTATAAAAAATTGATGAGTTGGTAGTAGAGCTTTTATATATCCATTTTATTTATAGGGTAGAGTATATTTTATAAATGCATGTAGTAGCTGTTTAGATCTGCATGTCATAAAGCTTGATGAAACAACTTACCGGTAGTTGTCAAGAAAGCATTTATGACATGTATGTTCGTAGTCAATGAACATAAGTTTGGTGTCATTAAGACAGTCAGCAAACTCTTATCGTCAATGTTAAAATAAGAAATACATTATCTTTTCCTAAATGCGGAGGGGTACAGCCATCCCAGTCATCTATTGAACTCCTTATGACTTTGTTTAGGGTGCATATCTGTGTACAGGAACATACCCGGGGTACATATTTGTAGTACCTGTGCCGACAGCGACCACTTCAGCCATAATAATATGAATTATTTTATTGATGCAGGCTGATGTCCATGTACTATACTTGAGATTTAACTCGGGCTAATTCCACATCAACCTTCCAGTTGTCCTACCACTGACCATTAGTGGTGGTCCGATTAATTGAAATAATCGAAGATTGGTCGCAGTGACTAAACGACCAAGCAATCGATCATGTTTTTTCATAATCGAACACAAACAATTCTGGAACACTTGTTTTCATCAACAATATTTTTCACAGGGTTGGTTTTGTCTGTTACATTTCATAAGCACTACAAGCTTGTTCCAAGTCATGATTAAATTTATCTTAAAGACACCAAGAAATTTATGTTCCTAACATACTAGTCATCCTTTAAAGATGTGAAATTTAGCCAAAACACCCAAAAAATAACTACATGTTTTTTTCCTTATTTTTTTGTGCATTAACAAATTTCATAAATGACGCTAGCCAATTATTTTCGATGATTGATCGCTTGTAATATACTAATCATCAATTATGAGATTTGAACCAATTCCCAACACTACTGACCATGGTGTATTTAATGTTGTCTCTACTCAGGCAATTCACTGAGATGTATATTCAACATTGGCTTGGGATGCCTCATCCTGGGACTCAGTGTTCCAGTTGTCCAGAACCTCTTCTCTCAACGCCAAGCTATGAACAAGTACTATGACAGTCTGAGACTTGTCAATACATATGGGGCTTTTGGAAGGTAAGTCATTCAGATCGGTAGGATTGATGCATTGAGAACTGGTTCAGAATTATTAACCTCAAACGCTACAAGTTTGTGTGGGCTAACATTTTTCTACTGACTGAATTTCAAAGGCTGGTGAACAGAGCACATTCAAAAGTTATTGTGTTATCTTAATGTGCCTCAAAGCTGACAGAAATATTATCATGACCGGTGCCCGACTGCACAAAGAGATGTGAGTGCTATGACTCTCATAAGTCTCTGTTAAGCAGTAGAAGTTATCATCACCTCAGCTCTGTGATAGCTTTGTGCAATGGGGCCCAGTTATTCAAATGTGTGACTTTGTTGTTTATTGGTCTTCATTCCTAGCAAAGACTTATTCATTTAGTCAACTGTGACATTGTTGGACCAATTCTGACATTGCTGTTATAGAACCTCACCAAACACCAAAATATAAATTTTCTTTGAACCAACAAATATGAGATCTATGAAACTTGATGAGGGTATGTACATTATGATCATTAACAAACCCAATTTGGTTAATGGCAGAAATATATTTTTTTGTCTGGAATGGCAGCATTACAAGGGAACGAACAGAGATCATACTAGAAGCGACCTTCGAGCAGTGACCCAAGCGACCCCCGTGCCAAGTGGCTGGAGTATGAGTTTAAGTGTAAGCCTAGCAACATCACACGGCGGCCGTGCATCATCTCCCCTTATCACTACCGACTAGATTGGCTGATGTGGGTTGCAGCCTTGCAGGTTGGTGGTCAACAGCAATGATTTCATTGTATATAAAGTTGAGTGAGATTTCATTTTTATGACGCTTTTAGCACTATTCCAGCAATATCACGGTGGGGACACCAGAAATAGGCTCCACACATTGTACTCTTTTGGGGAATCGAACCCGGGTCTTCAGCGTGACGAGCGAACACTGTAACCACTAGGCTCCATGTCAGAATAGGTTTCCAGTCTCAGTAGGATTCTGGGTCAGACTTATCGCCAACAACCATACATGTGGAGAAGACTGACTGGATTTGGTATTCAGGCATGATGATTTTGTTGCTCATTATATCAGTCACTGGTTTATGAGGTCCAAACTTACATATTTCTGAGAACATCATATAGCTGGAATACTGATTATTGTTCAGTGGCAGGTCAAACAATGAACAATCTGAGCCCTTGAGAGAGGACTAAAATGGTGATTGGTTAGTCATGCTTTTGGTGACTACATTAAAGAAATTCTGAAATAAGAAAATCTTCATAAATTTACTTTGATGTTGTTTGTCTGTACCAGGGGCGGATACAGCTTTTTGAGAAGGGGGGCAGGGGATGCACACTATTAAGAAAAGGGAGGGTGCACACTTCATTTCACCCGAGTTTCAATGGTCATTTAATAAACTTTCAGGACAAAAGGGTGGGGAAGGCGCACCCCTGCACCCCCCCGTCTGGATCCGCCTATGTGCACTGTTGCTGTTGTGGATGAACCTCTTTCCAAACAGAGAAAGGTGAATGGTTTGACTCTCGAGAGACAATAATTGATGTTACTTGTTATCTTGACTATATTTGTACACATATGTACAATTAACCTCACAAACGCATGTATACATTGATCTGCAGTATCTCCTCAGGTTATAAACTTTTTCAGGGCTACAAAAACATCCGTGGCTGAAGCACCTCGTCCTCAAACTACTTGCCAATGATGAGGATGTGATGTCCTTGATTGCATTTAACCCTTTTGAAGGTCAACAGCCACCTAAGTAGGTAGCCCATCCTTGCAATACCCTCAAGGGTAGTTTCAAATGGAAATTAAATATTTTTTATTGGAGCTTTTTGACCAACAGACTTGAATTTTAATAATAAATAATAAGAATAGTGTTAATCTTATGTTTATTACTTTTACTGAAATAATTGGTTGAGTTTGTTAATTTTGAAAAACACCTTTGCTTGTATAGTGTGTGGTCTCTCCATGATCTGCTGTTACAATGTCATGAACAAGTTAAGGATGAAGGTTTAATGATTAATATTTCAGATTTATCAGAGCAGAGTTGTACAGATACAGCTACTCTAAGGTTGGAAGTCGAGAGGCGGAGGCTGGTGCATGGTGGGTCAGAAAACATGTCGGAAACTACCTCCCAGTGTTGCCTAGCAACACTGTACAGGATCCTGGGAAACAGCATATGCCTAATGTCAAGATGAAATTGTAACATGACAATACATTAGCTAAATTGTGTTAATTTTTTTTTATTTATGTCAATAAAGGCTAATAATATATTGTGCATTGTCTTCATATACAGTTTTAAAATTCATTTTATGCATGTTACAGCCTAATTATTAAAGTGCCCAGCAGGCACATCAACGTTGTTTCAACGTTGAGAATAGGTTGATCCTCAACGTTGAAAATAGATTGAAAATAGGTTGTATATGAAAGTTTTTTTGACGTAGATATCCGACGTGGAATCAACGTTGAAGTTTGACCGATTATCAACGTTGAAAAAAGGTTGTATATGAAAGTTTTTTAGACGTAGATATCCGACGTGGAATCAACGTTGAAGTTTGACCGATTATCAACGTTGAAAAAAGGTTGTATATGAAAGTTTTTTAGACGTAGATATCTGACGTGGAATCAACGTTGAAGTGTGACATATTGTTAACGTTGAAAATGGGTTGTTCCGTGGTTGTATATGAAAGTTTTTTTGACGTAGATATCCGACGTGGAATCAACGTTGAAGTCTGACATATTATTAACGTTGAAAATGGGTTGTTCCGTGGTTGTGTCAGGGAGGTATTACGCTTTCCTGTAAATAGACTCGCACTTCATCTTTAAACTACACTAAAATAGCACCAAACTCCTGCATCCAGCTAAAATACCCAAAAAGCTACCTGCAATAAACAGTGTTCAAACAGAAAATTGCAGTAAAAATATTTACCTGATAAAATACTTGGTTAAAATTCCACATTCAATATAATGTTCATTTAAGTTTTATATCAGTTGGACGTATAATTCCAGTAAGAAGAAAAGAGTATTCCAAATTAAGAAAAACTATTTACTGTTGTATTGTTACCTTGAAAAGGTGGAAATTGTCCCGAGAAGACATTTTGTCTGAATTTCAGCTATTAGACAGACCCCTGAATAAACACAATGCAATTACTTTCACCATGAAAGGGATCCAAGACCTTAGATGACCAGGAACTATACCTTAAAACAGCACATAAAACAAGTCACTTTTCATGAAATCTTTATGAACACACACGCACAGAGAAACATGGTTTAATGCATAATGTAAAACATCACACATGACATAGTCTGTAGGTGATCTCTGTTGTGCTAATAACACAATATCATCTGCATATAGCATCAAAGTGACATTTACGCCACCAATTTCAATACCACAGTTCAGATTTTTCAACACAATTACAACTCCAAAACCACAATTATCAGCTCCTCTTTTTCCTGCCACTCCCAGCCTGGCGGTCAGGTGGATACTTCAGAAACGTCCCTAACTCTTTCTTGAAATTTGCTTCGGGATGCATTCCCATTTCATTCCCATGAGATGGGACACATTCTGAAATTTTATATTTAAATACAAGAATAAGTTATATGGAAGATATATTGTCTTAAATGATTCAAGTATTTGTTTAATCAATCACTTGAAAGGTTCATTTCACTGCTGTAACTTGGCATGTGAACATATGAACAGCATCAATACAAAATATGACGAAAAGTGTCAACAATTTATATTTTCAACCGAAGGAATGGAAGTTTTCTTAAACGTCCTCAATTGCAAGTTGATTATTCAATTAGACTATGAATTAGGATGAATTAAATGATGCTTTACTGTCATATATTATTTGCTATGGTCATGATGAATATGCCGCACTTAGTAATTTACTTACCAGAGATGATTGAATACAACCTTGTATTCTTAAAAGAAAACTTGCCGTTTTGCCCGTCAACATTCACTCCTGACATCAAATTGTTTGACATTGTCCTGCAAAACAATGGAAGATTGTTGTTATTCTGTCAGATTTAGTTTTCTTTAGAGATTCTCGGAAATGATTATTTCAAATTAATAGGAGTTGTACTGATGTAGCAATTTTGCTACCAGGAGTCATAAATTGTAACAAAACCCGTGAAGGTCCGGGGTAGAATAGCCCTTCAGCAACCCATGCTTGCTATAAAAGGCGACTATGTTTGTCGTAAAAGGCGACTAACGGGATCGGGTGGTCAGGCTCACTGACTTGGTTGACACATGTCATCGGTTCCCAATTGCGCAGATCGATGCTCATGCTGTTGATCACTGGTCCAGACTCGATTATTTACAGACCGCCGCCATAAAGCTGGAATATTGCTGAGTGCGGCGTAAAACTCAACTCACTCACTCACTCACAAAAGCCATTTTACATTAAATGATAAGAAAACAAAATGGGTGGTGGTTCACAGGTCAAAGAATAAGTCTATTGTGGGAGGTCTCCCAACACCATTTGTTCCCAAACACAAGGAAGTAAGGATCATGGAGTTCTGAAAACAATAATGAGCTCTCATAAGTATACAATATATTCTCTATTATCTACTCTCTCTCTCTCTCTTTGTCATTTGTACACTCATAAAACTCAGATAAATAACTTCTTTATAATTCATAAATGTTTACACTTCATCTCTTATAGGAACGCTTAGAAAATCTCTCATATAATGAATTATGTGGGCGTATTATCTGCGACGTCATAACTATGCTTCTCTGAATCATGAACAATAGAATAATGAGATTAAACTCTACGCTGCCAGAAATAATCTATCATACCCTGAATAATAAGACATTGAATAACATCTCTTACAACTCCAATCTACACTCAAAAAGACTTAAATGTACTCGTAAACAAACATCGCTGGCATCGCACGCAAATTCTTGGAAACAGTGCATCTCTGACTCTCAATTCCAAGAAATGGAAGTCCTAGTCTATTTGACCAAAGGGATCACAGGTGGCCAAAACATATTGAAATGTAGGTCATACACTGAAAATAACTCTGATTTAAAACACTACAAATATACACCTTCTCTCTAATATACTCGATAGATGATCTTAACAAGGGAACATGTACATAAAATGCTGATATCTAACAACACCTGTACTTTAAATAATGGACTCTTCCAAATCTCAGTATGTTTCACTGCACACATATTAGATTGCAAATAATGAAAAACCTACCCTTTGACAATAATAAAAAAACATCATATTCAAATTCTACAGCTGACCAAATACCTGAAGAGTGTGTCTTCCAGCAATAAACATCTATATATATCTATAAATGTATGGCTTCTGTCCTCTCGCGTGCTATCTCCCATCCAGCTGTTTACGGCGAAAAACAATATGGCGCCAAGCAAGGGAGTGCTCATTAAACTAAACATCTCCGGGAGAAACCATTGTCAAATTTTTCTCTTACATGATCAACCTTAATATATAAATGAAAATAAAGTCCAACTAGTATCACCAAAAATGACAAAACATTATCACAAATATTCAAAACAGGTGGTAATGAAAGAGCATTATCATCTTTCTATTAAACTTTGTGGTGGATATACTGGAAACAAGTGAAATGTTAAAAACGTGTTACCTTAGCATTGCTCCTTTTATGTGATCCACAAAATTGCTGCCACCCAGTCTTCGAAGATGAGATTTCTGCAAATTCCATTAAAATTATACCTTATTTCATAATTAAATGTTCCTTACTTTAAAATTACTTCTTTTGTATGTAAGATTTTAACCTTTAAGAGACATGAATTATCATATCCCTTCCAAACAAGTGTAAGAATGAAAGTCTGTGGGTGCAGTTTTGTTAATTGTCCCATCAAAGAATCATTAGTGAAGTTACACTTTTTTGTAAATAAATAAAAGTTCAAATAAATTATATACAATTTCATCCTTAACAAAGACTTTCACAAGACATTTTGATGTGAAAATTTCGTTGCATTTCCTTACGCCATTCTCCACCGGCCCCCTCCCCCCAAATAATATACATATGTTGACAGGGTTCAGGGCGTGCTCAATGCATAATTTACTGATAGATCTATTCAAACGAACAAATGTTCATAATAATGGGATGCAATATAAACTGTTGATTAATCCTTTCCGATTTTGTATAGCTGCCCTTAGGGACCGTTCATAATGTATGGCTTTGGGGTGATGTTGAGACGGCCCACCATGCATGTCATGTACATTATCTATGACGCCATCTCCCCCTTCCAATAATTTCTAAACATCATATTAAACATAGTGCGTGTGTACAAAAATGATGACCCCTTAGCTCCCCTGAAAAAAATGGGTGACACCCCACCCCTTACAATCATCACCCCCACCTGCAGCCATATATTTAATTATGAACGGTTCCTTATATTGATGTACTTCATTGATTATTTGAAAATGAATATTTGCAAAATTCAAATCAGGTGATTGGTACGAAAGGAAATCTTATTCGATTATATAATAAAATGCCAAATATATGCATTTAAATATATTGAAAAATAACAAAACAAGTTCATGGAAAACACGGGCTTCCACTAAATTTTGAGAAACATGTACTGTGACATACCGGTAACCTTGTGAGATAAAACATAAGCCCTAATTCGGAGTTTCTTGCTACTTTGACCTGCTAGATTCCTACGTTTTCAGAATACATGAAGGACATACTTACCAAATAAACACCAGCATGCCGTGAAGATGGCGAAAATAGAACGATATTGCGTTGAACTTCGCCAAAGTGAACTGACAACGATCAGCTGCCTTTGCGCGCGCGATAATTGTGCGAATGTCTGCATATGGCCAAACGAGGCGATCGAAAGGTCAACATCTGGCATGTGTTTGAAAGCAAATTGTCGGGAATTATACAATTTTCACAGTTTTGTTGGAAAATATCAAATGTACTGCAATTTGGATAACTGATGACTTTATACCTTAAATTGCGATTTACGTTATATTTCCGTCCATTGATTGATGCACAATCAAACAATATATAAGATTATATCTGTCACTAGCTCGATCTTGATCTTTTATGAAAATAATGTTCCGAAATGATAGTTGCTAAGTCGGATACCTATTACCAATATGAATTATGTATCAAATTTGCCAAGGAAACAATTAGTTGACATTTTGTTGGTTCCTTACGTTGAAACAACGTTGACAATTAAACGAATCTCGACTAACTTTCTTTGGTCGCATGATAAACGTTGAATCAACGTTTATGAAAGGTTGATCAACCAAACAACCAAAATTCAACGTTGATTCAACGTTGATTCAACGTTGTGTGCCCGCTGGGGAAGGTCGCGGGTTCAATCCCCATACCAAAAGACGTTAAAATATGGTACTTGTTGGTCCCTGCCTGGCGCTCGGCATTAATGGGTACATCAAGGACAGGTCGGCTCAGAGTCAGTATAAAGTGTCTGAGTGGGGTATTCATGCTTCACTGCGGCATGGTATCTCAGTGGGCTAGCACTATAAAACCAACTTCAGTCTGGGCTAGTACAAGCAGACACACATACACATACACACGCATGCACGTCGTCATATGAGCGAAATATTCTCAAGCACGACCTTAAACCCAATTTCACCTCACCATTTTGCAAATCATGGCACGGGTCATTGACAAGTACACAACACCTGTCAATAGCAGGTATGGGATCCACAAAAGGCAGTGACATACTGAAACCTAGGATCCATGCTTACAGCAGGCTTAGATATTTAAATCAAATTTGACCCCACATCATAGTTTTCTGTTGAATCAATGATTTGATCCTTAGCAAAGTGTGAATAGTATATGTAGTTGTTTGAAAGATATAGTTTCACTTTATATATTACATGTAATCTGAAAAATTTCAAAGAAACATTTTCCTACTGTGCTATTTCCAGCATGGTAGAGAAACCAATGTTTCAGGGAGAATAAAAAACACCAACTAATAATGACTGATCGGGGACGACCACTTTTGTTAGTTTCATGTACTGACTCTTCATGTATTATGGGTGAGTGAGAGAGGTATATATTTTTAACAGGAAAGTCAGCCATGCATCAGCTACCTAAGTAGTTTTGTCTGCATCAGACAAAGGCACAGGGTAACTCCCAGTGCAAAATCAGCTCCTCTGGAAACGCTCGTTAAATCTCCATCACCATTGTCAGCATCAGCAGCAACCTGACTTGACTAGTGAGTGAGTGAGTTTAGTTTTACGCCGCACTCAGCAATATTCCAGCTATATGGCGGCGGTCTGTAAATAATCGAGTCTGGACCAGACATTCCAGTGATCCATAACACGAGCATCGATCTGCGCAATTGGGAACCGATGAGATGTGTCAACCAAACCAGCGAGCCTGACCACCCGATCCCGTTAGTCACCTCTTACGACAAGCATGGGTTACTGAAGATTCATTCTAACCCGGACCTTCACGGGTCCTGACTTGACTAACATCTAGTTCCAGAAATAAGGTCATTTAAGATTACACACAATAAAATTGTCTACCAAAAAAGTCGAAATGGAATCAAAAACGATCCTTAATTTTTGGCTACAGCTTTTACACTCTGAACTTGCCAAATCATTCAAAACTTGAGTAGGTCTCATATTTTATTTATTCTCTACGGTCTGGGAGACGGACCACAACCTAGCTGGCAATCAGCTATTCACAGAGTCGCCCACATCACAGTCTAGTCTAGCATGTGGGCTCTTCTGAACTAGGATTCCATTGTGTGTGTAGGGGAGTTTGGTGACTGGCTTGGGGAGGTATGAAACATTGTTTGGCTCAGACTTTCAGAACGTATTTTTGTAACCCTGTAATCCTGTATTAAACAAAACCCATCACTCCCCATCTCCATAACTGTAATACTAAAGCTGAATGGTTACACTAACAGTCTTATGTTCTTATGTTTATGGGGGCGGTGGAGTAGCCTAGAGGTTAAAATGTTCGCTTGTTGATTCCCCACATGGGCACAGTATATGAAGCCCATTGCTGGTGTCCCCCGCCATGATATTGCTGGAATATTAATATTGCTAAAAGCGGCGTAAAACCCAACTCACTCACTCACTCACTCTTATGTTTAAAAAAAATGCACTGTGAATGGTGATTCAGTACCCTTGGTCATGCGAGAGTGAGTATGGTTTTACGCAACGGTAGAAGACAAAAAGTGGTCATGCTCATACAAAAGCACTGTCAAGAGGGATGCCTAAGTGACATAATGGAGCTGCCTTACAAATTCTGAGCAGGGATTTTGGCTCGGAATCGAGAAATCACGATTTTTCGAGCTTCCGAAGACCCTAGCTCCCAAAGTACTGCTTTGATTTTAGTGCTGTATGTCTCATTTTGTAAGTAAATCTATTGGCTTGGGATGTGTGCATACTTTAAATGGGATATATACATTGCGTATTGTTGAATTCGCCCTGAAACGAACCTGGTGTGTTGACCTCGTTACATCCCTTTCCTTTTATATAGTACTAAGACCCCGTCAGTGACAGTATATACCTTGATGGCAGTTTTTAGCGTTACAAGCCCCTGTGAGATAGGCTATACGCAATGAGCTTATATGGTTATTTTTACATTAAAAAACCCATGGTTCTATTATTCTTCTATAATCTATTTTCCCTTGTGTAAATGAGGTGCAGTAAAAACACAACAGCAATACGTCGCATTAAAAATGAATTCATCAATAATAGGGAAATGAGCTTGGACTTTCATATCAATCGGTTGGATTTCCAAGGAAGCGTGAAGTCATGTGACTGAATGTTTTGATCATGTGACCTAAAATGGCGACCGACATTGCACCACGCAAACATGCTATTGCTAGATTCACGTTATTTGTAGCTTTTGACATATTTTAAGACTGTCAGTTTCACAAGGAGAGAACCACGCTACCCAGTAGTCGTATCAAGTGTTACCGAGAACACAATGTATCAAATAAAAGCCTCAATAGGTCTTTTGATTGTTCCTACCCTCATTTTTGTGGGTTTTGGATTTGGAGGTACGTATTCTATCGTCAGATGATTGCCGCGACAGATGCAAATGAATAGTAAACTTGCCGGTTCATGTATTCATCAATTCTTATATTGTTTTTGTCATGAAAACCATAAACCATTTTTTATTAGAAAGTGCTTCGACCATAAACACGTATTTAATGTCAATGATATATATATTTAATTACCCCAGACTTTATAAATGACATCGAAAGTCACAAAACGATAGTTGTCTTCACCATAAACTTAACAAGTATGTTTCCTAACATATTTTCATCAAGTGCTTAATATCTTTGAGGTTAATTGATTGTATATTTATTTTTATATTTTGTAAACATGCTTTTTAACATGAACTGTCAAAGAACATATTATATTTTGATTGATATAGATCTATTTTTACTTACGATATTTTGAACAAAATATTATCTTCAAGGTCACATGCAACCAAAAAATCAAACATAATTAAAACACAATTATCACTTATTCATGACATATAATATACATTGCTGGTTATGAAAAAACGTATAAACAAAATTATAAGCATACAATCGCAAATCAAAAGTGCAATATTGTGTACTTGGGTTTACTTCCCAAGAAACGAAGCAGCCCGGGATACTGAACCCAGTCAGAGCGGGTGGGTGTGCACTCAAGTGTAACGGTTGGTTCATTTGCAGATGACCTCACGGCTCATTGTGTGTGTATATAGAGTGATGTTGGGTTTTGTAAATACATGCTCATTTTTTGTGTATAACATTTTGCAATCAACAGACATCATAACATGTCATGTGTTCAAGTATCACACCTGCCTGTCTGTGTAATTACATTATGTGACAGAGACCGAACTCAGGCCATAAATCAATGCGTTTTGTTTATGGTGTATAGCCTGATTGGTGTTAAGTTCAAATTGCATGTGGTCAGTGATCGCAGTTGTGTATTGAATATTGTCATTAACAGACAGGCAGGCAGGCAGACACACAGGTGTCAATAAAACAAGACATTGAGTTTTGTCTGTGACAACGACATATCTATATCACAGTTTGAAATTCTGTCAACGCTAAATAATGACATTGCTTTTAAGTATCGACTGACTGACTGAGTTTAGTTTTACGCCGCTTTTAGCAATATTCCAGCAATATCACGGCGGGGGACACCAGAAATGGGCTTAACACATTGTGCCCATGTTTTTTAAGTATCGAACTGAGAAAGTGACTCGGTAAGAAGAACGTGTGGTGAAATAGACAAATGAAATTATAGAAACAGTTTATTTACTGTCATAACATATAAAAAGCTCGCGCCTGTGAGATATAAACAAAACATTAGGAAATTAGCTCACACCAAAGCCTTCACCAAGTATTCTCCGGACAGCCCTCTTCCAAGTTGCGCGAACCTATTTCACTGCGCACGTGCTATGAGCACAGCCCAGCTGTTGAAACCAGTTTTCCCCAGAAAAGTCTGGGAAAATTAGTGAATCGTTTGAACTCCGATTTCGCATTTTTTTCATCGCGTTATTTTTCAACTTTATAAGTTGAATTTGCATTTTTGATGATTTGTTTCGGTAAGTCCATACCGAAAGGTATCAGAATCTGCAAAGTTGTGTTTTACTTTCCAAGTTCCAACATGATACTCCAACATGTTATTATTTAATTAACATAGTATATCAAATATAATGTTTATATACTATATTTCAGAACATAATGTCATTTCTTGGAATTTTCTGCCATTGAATATTTCTTACACTTTGACTTAAACCATCCTAACTCTCTTTCATTCTCTAACATATCTGAGCTCACAGAGTGAAATATCATAACTGCTCCAGGTTATCTACTATGGACCAAGAGCCACTTGACATCAGCAGCAAGCAAAGCCAAGAAGAAAGTGAAGATCCGTAAGAAAGGCGAAGGTGTCACTCATGTGATTACAACAGCTGCACAGTGGGAGAAAGTCTTTCCTCAGCTACTTGAAGATACTAAACAAATCAGGGTTTGTTTCAGATTTTTCTCTATGAGTTACTTATTTTAAAATGTAGCAATAGATTAAATGGGAATAACGGTGCTCAGTTTAGAAGTAAATATATTTGCCTGATGTTTACTGAATCTCATCATGCTCATCAGGCTCACAGGGTTTCCTTGGTTAGAGACCGTCTCTGTGGTGTAGTGGTTAGAGAGTCTGCCCGGAGAGCGGAAGGTCGCGGGTTCGATCCCCGACCGCGTCATACCAAATGACGTTAAAATGTGGTACTTATTGGTCCCTGCATGGCGCTCGACATTAATGGGTACAACAAGGACTGGTCGGCTGGGAGTCAGTATAATGTGTCTGAGTGGTGTATTCATGCTTCACTGCGGCATGGTATCTCACTGGGCTAGCACTATAAAACCAGCTTAAGTCTGGGCTAGTACAAGCAGCCGCACATACACATACACACGCATGCACGTCGTCATATGAGCGAAATATTCTCGAGCACGACGTAAAACCCAATTTCACCTCACCTCACCTCCTTGGTTAGAGTAGGACCCAAGTGACCAATGCTTGTGGTACAAACTGACAAATATTGTGAGAGACATATACTATTCACACTTTGCTAAGGATCAAATCATGGATTCAACAGAAAGCTATGATGTGGGGTCAAATTTGGTTCAGATATCTAAGCTTATTTTAAGCATGGATCCTAGGTTTCAGTGTCATTTCAAATTTTCATCTTGTGGAACCCATACCTGCTATTGACAGGTGTTGTGTACTTGTCACTGTCTCGTTTCATGATTTGCAAAATGGTTGATTGGTGCCATGAAAACCATTTTGATGGTTGTACATGTATCAAGTGCATAAGGTTAGATTAAAGTGACTGTTTGCCTAAAGAGGGGTTACCATATTATTATTTATCCAGTTTTAAATGGATACAATTTCAAATTATGAATCTATGTTTAAGTAAAGTTGTGAAGTTTTGTTATCCTTAGCAAATTGTGAGTAGCATATAATACAAAACCTGTTTTCAATATGATTAGTGACCATCAGAAAAAAAGAAAAAGAAATTCTTTCTTGCACCTTAATTTTGTTCTACTTTGTCATGCCATTGGTAATATGTAACTTTTGCTTATATTGATAAAGTTTCTTTCTTACTAATTTCTTGGTCATCAATAGTCAATTAGGCAGGAGGCAATAAAACTAATTGAACATATTATTCCTGGGTTTATTTTAGGTTAATCATTAAAGAAATGCATTTTCAATAGCAAGTTAGCAAAAAAATATTTGTAATAGCTGTTTTCAAAGGTTGCAAAAATAAGGGTTTACTCAAACATGAAAATAGAAAAGAAACTGGTGTGGCCTTATGAGGCGTTTGCATTAGATGAATGAAGGACAAGTTAACCATTTGAGTTTTTTCTTGTAGGTAGTGGGTCTGGATTGTGAGTGGGTGTTCGAGGAATTCATCCGTCACCCTGTGGCCCTTCTACAGATCTCCACACAACAAGGTCTCTGTCTACTGGTGCGCCTCTGTCAGATGGAGAACAGAGTCCCTCACTCACTCAGACACTTCCTCACAGACAAACAGTCAGTATTTGTTAATAATCTGATTCAGACACATTTGAAGCTGCAGCTTTTTTGGGGGATGTTCTTTTGAGGGTTTTAATGTGTACAGTAGGGCTGGGACGGGTAACCCGGATACCCGGGATGGGTGGGTAATGAGTTGGACCCAGGTACCTGTCTCAATACTCGGATCCGTTATGATCATGTGACTAATGGATTTAACAATGTAATATGTTATTCTTTCATGATTAAAACATTGTATTGTCTTTGAAGATTAAGATATAATTTACAGTCACCTGTTTTGAATATAATACATGATTAAGGTATTGAAAAACTTGAAATTTTAGCTTCCGAGCTGAAGAATATATTGCCATTTCTTACAAATTTGATGTCAGGAATTAACATATCGGGTATCCGGGTAGGGTAATAGGGGGTGAGGTATCCGGGTAGAAAATTTAGACCCGTCCCAGCTAGTGTTGGGAATTGGTTGAAATATCACAATTGATGATTGCTTCATTACCAACGAACAATCATCGGAAAAAATTGGTTAGCATCATTTTTCAGATTTTCCTATCCAGGTCGTTAGTGCAGATATGTATAACATAATGCAACTTGCTACTTTAAAGTGATGACTAATATATCATGAACACAAACTTCCCGGAGTCTTCAAAAAATCATGTCATGGCTTTTCAGTTAGTGAAGTGAGTTTTCTAAGAATTAAACACGTTTTCAGGCCCTGACAACTTCTACGATATGTTCCATTGTCAAGTATTTCAAAGACTAAAACAGTAGTTCCAAAATCGTTTATGTTCGATTATGAGAAAATGTGATCGATTGGTTGGTCGTATGGTCACTTCGTCCAATCTTCGATTATTTCAATTAATCGGTACACCACTAGTCCCAGCCCTAGTGTACAGTGATTTATAATGCAATGTAATATATGCTGTGTGTTCAGTTCCTGATTCTATGTAGTATGCTTGAATCTACAAGGGGCAGAGGGGTAGCCTAGTGGTTATTGCGTGAAACCCATTTTTTGTGTCCCCAGGCATGATATTGCTGGAATTTTGCTAAAAGTGGCGTTAATCTAAACTCACTCACTTGAATCTACAAGTAAAGTAGCACAATAGACAAAAAGAAATAATGTGTTGATATTCAGTGACAGGTCAAATGATATAGGGGTGGTGGGTAGATGTGATTAAGGACTGTATCATAATGAGGATGATTTTTATGGAGAAGCATGTACAATGTGAATGACCCCCTCCTAAAATTTATGTACAAAGTAAGTGACCCCCTACATGTCATGTACAAAATCAATGACTCCCTCCCTTTCCCATATTTATTAAGCATAATTTTTAAATATTTTTATGTACAAAATTGCTGACCCTCACTAGTACATGTGTACAAAATTGATGACCCCACCTCCCCAGAACAAAATGGGTGACCCCCCTTAAAATCATCATCACCCCCCTAGCCATACATTATGAACGGTCCCTTAACCAATTCATTGTAATCTCATGATGACATATCTACTGGACTCTGAAATGTCCTATAAGCACAAGATGTGTTGTTATCACTGATGGGAATAACAACAATGTCCATTCCCCGTGTTTAATTGTACAGGAAAAATATCACCCTGAGAGTTAAAAATTGTTATATATGTGATACCCCTTATCTCATTTCAGTGTTTTGAAAGTGGGCGTGGCTGTTAAAGACGATGGCAAGAAGCTATATCGAGATTACGGCCATCCAGTAAATGGTTGTGTGGATCTGAGGTTCCTCATGTCTCAAGTGGGCAATATATACAACTGGTAAGACTGCTACATAGTGACTGCTGCATGGTTAATAACCTCCTGATTTTCATGCTTGGTGGGTGCCTATGTAGTGTAGTTTGTATATAATGTGTCTGTGTCGAGTGGCCTGTGAGTTGGGTGCCTGTGTTGAGTGGCCTGTGAGTTGGTACCTGTGTTGAGTGGCCTGTGAGTTTACACCTGTGTTGAGTAGCCTGTGAGTTGGGTGCCTGTGTTGAGTGGCCTGTGAGTTGGATGCCTGTGTCGATTGGCCTGTGAGTTGGGTGCCTGTGTTGAGTAGCCTGTGCCTGTGTGGCCTGTGAGTTGGAGTGGCCTGTGAGTTGGGTGCCTGTGTTGAGTGGCCTGTGAGTTGGGTGCCTGTGTTGAGTGGCATGTGTTTAGGATGCCTGTGACATGGATCCATGCGTCATGCATGTTGAATACTTGTGTAGAGCGGCCATACGTTGTGTGCCTGTGTGTAGGGTGCCTATGATGTCAGGTGACCTGTGTGTGGAATAAAATCACCTGTGTGGGATGTGGGTGTAAAGGATCTGTACCAAGCATTTGTGGGGGTGTTTTACACAGCTTTTAGCAGTATTCCAGCAATATCACGGCGGGGGACACCAGAAATGGGCTTCACACATTGTGCCCATGCCTCTGCATATAGCTCAGGTCACAAATCAGTTGAAGTTAAGCATCGTTGGGCATGGAGAGTCCTCGGATGGGTGACTGTGTGTGTCAGCTTGACTCCTGAGAGTTTCTAGGACTTCAGTCCTGCCCAACAACGAAGCACATGGAGTCATGTGGTTTGACCTCAGGCAAGTGAGTATGTTCAAAACTGCCTCTGTTCACCCAGCAGAAAATGGGTACCCAGTGGGATAAGTAATGTAACCATTAACCTTCTAGCGCTTCACAGGCAGCTTGGGTTATCCGGGGTAATAATACTCAGATTGTTTGCACGATTTGAGCATGCATTGTGCATGGAGAAATGCGCATGATAAATGGACTATTATTATTATTATTATTTATCCATTGTTTCATGTGACAGTAAGACCCAGGGCCTACAGAGTCTGGCAGAGTCTGTCCTAGGAGTGATGCTGGATAAGGACGATAACATCCGATGTGGAAACTGGGAGGCAGAGACGCTCAATGAACAACAGGTAAGGCAGTGAGAGACATAGAGAATACTACACGAGGTCTCATTACATACGAATTATACGAAACGAGTGTCCTTCCTATGGTATCTGACCGAGCCGGCGAGGTCAGAATAACATAGAAGGTCACGAAGTTCGTATAATTGTATGTAATGAGACCTCGCCTAGTATTTTATTTATTACCCATCTTGCATGCATTAAATTGACAAAATAGCGTATTTTTGTTATGTTTTGGCTTCAAACCGAAACCGTTTCATAAAGAGGTTCGCGGAAAGAGTTTTGTACTGTAGTACAATATTTGCATGACGCCACACTGTAATGGCGTCACTGCCTTGGTAACCGGCGTCACGATGCATGTCAGTTGTCATCGCCTCGTACAACCTCCTACAGTAAACTACTCCGTAGCACCTCGTTTCTTGGTTTCCAGTTGCTTCATTCGGCTAACATCACTGGTGGAAACATTGCGTTTATGTTTTTCGATGGATATAATGTCTCAGTTCGACTCACAATTAAACAGCGACACGGCAATGTTCGCAATGTTTACATTCCCACAATGCATTTAAGTTGTAGAATGAATGAATTCACGTGTTTGTTATGAATGAAAAAATAGTTACGTCAGAACGTGACCTACTTGAGAGGTCATCGGTTATCCAATCAAATCGTTAGAATCTCAGGTCAAGTCGTTACGACACAGGCCACGCGATACGACACTCGTGTGACGTACGAGATTAGTATGCAACTACCCATACGTTGACCTCGTGGGTAATAAAGTCACAAACTGCACCTTTTTGTAAATTGTCACATACAGACAAAGCAATATTTTACATTCAGTTAGCTTACGAGATTTAGTCTTTTGTTTGTAAATTTCTAAAATTATAATTATGTGGGTTTTTCACAATTTGATCTGCGAAGTTTCATAAAGAAATATTTTGCAGAACAATCATGCCTCACAATAACGCCCTTCATGATACCAAGGTCTCGGTTTAACTGGGGGGTTAAAAAAACCATAGTTATGTGCCAGATATACCACTGAAAAGAACTTGAGAAGAATCTGATTTTTAAATATAACTACAGTTAATCTGTCATGGCTTAAGGGTATATTTATACTCTACCTTAAGCTTTCAAATGTGGGTGTTCTGTAAGCAATTTTGATGAGTATATTTAACTCCTTGAACTGACTTTTTGGTTCCAGCATTAATAATCTTAAATACAGAATGCCAGGGAGACCTATTTGACTATACATCAGTTTGGGTTAAGTTTGAACCAGCTTGTCATTCTGATGATGCAAGATACAGGGAAAATGGGGAACCGGTAGCCTAATTGGTTAAAGTGTTCGCTCGTTACACCGAAAACCCAGGGTTGATTCCTTGCATGGGTACAATATTAGCAGCCCATTGCTGGTGTTCCCCGCCATTGCTGGTGTTCCCCGCCATTGCTGGAATTTTGCTAAAAGTGGCGTAAAACCCAAACTCACTCACTCTTAACACACCAAAGCAATAATGTGTGAAAGGCATGACTAAAACCATCTGCATGCTTCCATTCTATGCATCTGTTTGAAATGCAGAATAATAAGCAAACTAGTCCTTCCAGTTATACATGTATGCACATTTATGTTATGTCTGCGTGGCCTAATTCTCATGCACCACAATTGACTATGCAGAGTTGTGTCTCTTAGATATGTCAGGATCTGTTATCAGTAGAATGTCAATCACTCTTGCAGATACAGTATGCAGCGGCTGATGCTGCTGTTGCTGTCGACATCTTCACGAAGCTCGTCCTCACCAAGATGCTGAATCGGAACCCTGATGAGCTTTACCCCCCAGGGATGGAGAGTGTGGGGGAAGGGGAGTTTTGGCAGGCTGCGTTAGCTATATGTCAGTGGTATATTGACACACCTTTCTGTAGTCCAAGGTCTCACAACAAGGAAGATGGCATCAAACAGGTGGGGTTCTAAAGACCAGTATTTCATCAGGTTGTGCACAGGAGCAGATCCAGGATTTTGGTGTGTGTGTGTGTGTGTGTGTGTGCACAAAGTTGACTCCAAGGTCTTTACACCCGGTCACAGGTGGGCTCGATCCCGACACCTCAACCTCGCTGGATCACTAGCCTGGCGCCTTAGCCAGCTCGCCCACCGCGCCCCATAAATAAATGAAGTCCAAAGGTTAGGGGGAAATGCTCCTCAGAAAATATTTGTTCAGAGGTGGATGTAGGGGTGTGTGTGTGTGTATATCTGGATCTGCCCCTGGTGCATGTATTGTTTTTGCTTTAAAAAATTGATATCCAGGAAAGATATCCAGACAGTTGACTGTAGTGAAAGAATCTCTGTAACATGTATTGTCTTCTGTTTGTTTTTAAAACATGCTTTGGAAAATGGTGAGACATAACTAGGATACTGTGAGTAATTTCACTCTTTGGACTTCTTGATACGTTGACTCCTTTTTGTGTTGGGTCAAGGCCATTCTAAAGGTTATCCATGGTGAATGGTATGTAAATCATTGATACATAAAGGTGGTCATTCCGTTTTGCTACACTTGTATGTAAAAATGCAGACACTTTCTAGTATCATCATCTTTAATGATGATAATTACAATACATATTTTTTACATTGCTGTAATTTTTTTACCAGCCAGTGAATAAGACAGTAGACACCGACAGTCGTGGAGCTCGAGCCTACTCCCCAAGACAGCGCCCCATAGACTTCCGGTGTCAGCTCCAGACATTGAGTGGCAAGCTGATACAACGATGTGACATATTAAGGGCAGAGTGGTACCTGAAGAAGAACCTCGGACGTAAGTAGTTTGGTCATGTTGATAAATGATTGGGTCAGTTTCAGTTGAACAACTGGTTTGAATCCATTTGGATTCATTGGCAGATTAAACGTGACAATGTAGCAATATCATGATTTGTGTATTTGAAATTATAAGATTTTCATTAGGCGAGACCAATTTTATTTCTTGTTTTACAGATTTTTGTCCTCAGAAAACCTAGAGGCAGGAGGGAATAAAAAACCAAACTCCAGTCAAAGTAATATTCCTTTTAAATACTAAAATTATTTTACTTTTGGCAATTTATGAAGTGTATATGGGACAAAAAACAATCTAAACAAATTTTTCTTGTAAGTTTACATTTTTGGCCAATAAAAACATTAGGATTATATTTTTTGAGTGGGGGAAGTTATTTTTTTTTTTCTTATTCTTGAAAAAACACGACCAGCGGATCCGTAAAACAAGAAATATTATTGGTCTGGCCTTATGTGTATTTCAAAATAGTCCTGTACCAGTTTGACAGCACTGTTTAAGTGCAGTTTAGGATCAATAAGCATTACGGGGCACAGGTTGCCCAGTTATCTTAGGTAACGCATTTCTCTCGACAAAGTTGCCATTCTTGGCCATACCAGACAGCTATGCTTGTGGAGTGGATTATTGGTTTGCTCTTGGTATGGTTGTCATGGTGTGGTGTGTCAGCTATACCTGTTTCTAGGATTTCACCAATATCAGTGTTTAAAACTCACAAAATCCCAAGCCAGACAGCTGGACTGGAAACTTTAAAAATTACCAGTCCGGATACAAACTTGCCTGTCGGGTTTTCAACAATGAAAATTAAAAAAATCAGGTTTCTGAATACTTTACTGTGTGTAGGCATTGCAATGGACTACATAGCACTAACAGGCAATGCACTGAGTTTAGGTAAACTGAAAGTACATGTGTTGTGATTGGTTATTGTAAAATGAACTGTCCAATCCTAAATAGTTTCACATAATTATCATAATACCTTAAACACCTCAAACTGATGACAAGCGAACCTGTCTGATATTATGATATATTTACTGTTAGGGGTAAAAACATCTACCAGACCACCGGACAGGCTACTGTTGAAATTTGACCGTCCGAGATGAAAACAGACCGTTCTGGACGGTCGAGCAGGTGGGAATTTTAAACGCTGCCAATATGGAAAATGTTTGAAACCTGTATCACGATGGGCCACACACTCACTCACCCAAACCTACCAACTCAACCACTCACTCAACTATACAACCACTCACTCACCATTTCTAAAACATGCTTAAGACAACAGCAGACAAAAACTCTTTAAGAGATTCTTTTAAAACACCTGTATAGACATGTTGCTTAGAACCCGTGAAGATCTGGTTTAGAACTGATCTTCAGTAACCCATGCTTGTCGTATGAGGCCACTAATGGGATCGGATGGTCAGGCTCGCTGACTTGGTTGACGCATGTCATTGTATCCCAATTGCGTAGATCGATGCTCATCCTGATGATGACTGGATTGTCTGGTCCATACTCGATTATTTACAGACCGCCGCCATATAGCTGGAATATTGCCGAGTGTGGCGTAAAACAACTCACTCACTCACTGTTGTTTAGACATCAAGGTAGTGATATTTAGGGTCTTCACACAATTGTGGAGGAAACATTTCCTTAATAACCATGCAGCCCAATCATGTACTGCCATTCTTGAAGGTGAAAACCATCCTGTATTAAATCAGAGATTTTACTGGCGTTTTACAGGGAAGATCAGTGATGACCCCTTCATTGTCCAGTTGAAGTATGAGATTGAGAAGACATATGAATATGAGGACTACAATAATCTGTATGGGAACAGTGAGGATGAAGTGGCCATGTGTGCAGTGTGTGGCCGGACAGATGCCTTCATCAAGAAATATGTCATTCCCACGGAGTATAAGAGGTAAGAATTCAACAGGTGTACATCACAGCTACATTTCATTGTGAGAGAACAGTCCCAATTATATGTTTAAAGGTTAACCCAAAAATATGCATATGGAACTAAATTGTGAAATCAGTACATGTCACAGTCATAGATCATGACAGAAACTCATGCTTTAGTCTTAAATCCAGAGACACACGAAGGTCCGGGTTAGAATACTGATCTTCAGTAACCCATGCTTGTTGTAAGAGGCGACTAACGGGACCGGGTGGTCAGGCTCGCTGACTTGGTTGACACATGTCATCGGTTCCCAGTTGTGCAGATCGATGCTCATGCTGTTGATCACTGGATTGTCTGGTGGAGACTCGATTATTTACAGACCGTCGCCATAGAGCTGGAATATTGTTGAGTGCAGCATTAAACTTAACTCACTCACTCACTTAAATCCAGAGTAGTGTTCATGCTTTACAAGTAGATAAGATTTAGTCAGGTTATAGGTCTTATGCATTCACATTGTGTAACTTACTGAAGAATCAAGCTACCAGTTTAGTCAACAACAGAGGGTGATAACACTAAATCATACTTCCTTTCACAATCAGGCCCGAACATCACCCAATATTTATGACTGCTTCAATCCCATGCCCACATATGTGAACATTGATCATTCTTCAAACAGCTGAACTCTCAATCTTATACCCCCATTTCACTGGGCTGCGATCGGTCCTGATTGCATTTTTAATAAAAATCGCCAGTGATCGTATAATTGCCAGCGAAATATACCTGGAGTAGTCGGTAGTCGGCAGAGATCAGCAAGATACGTGAGGGTGTCTGCATAATCTGGAGGTGATTTTTGAATCGGCCCAAGTTTTTGAACAGGTTTAGAATCATGAGCCGATTGAAATAAGTCGTATGTTATGCATGACTGATCAGGATAGTCGCCAGTGTGTTCGGGAGTTAATCGGGAATGCATCGGCAAGAATCATGAGCAATTGGATTAACCATAGGTGAAGCCTGAACGATTCGCACCATTATCGAGAGGCAGAAACGGCCATGTGTCATCCCCGTAATGCCACACATCCCCAACATGGAACCGACAAGCAAATTGCCTAACAAAGCAGAGCTGTCAAAGCCAAACATCAGCATGATTCCTCCCAAATAAGACACGATCCACTTACGTAATGTGCATGCTTTACTCACGATTGGCACGATTCACATCAGACTGACAGAAAGGGTATAAAAGCACCGGCGATCAAAGTCAACATCACAAGTCTACGATGGCTTCGCACCCCACTGGGAGAAAGATGGCTATAGTGTGTCTTGACACTTTGAAGTGGTAGGAGAGGGAGGGTTACTTGTCTCCAGAGGCTAGGTGCCTTATGGTAACTGCTAACTTCAGACCAGGGTGCAGAGCTTTCCTGAAGTTGGTGTCTTTTGGTAAGTCTGGGGAATTAAGCAGTTCATCAAACATATCAGGAGGCATTTGCAGATAGTTGAAGAAAGAAGACGTGTCTTGGAATCTGAGTTCAGATAGAAGATTGTCATAGTTTCCAAAGTTCAGTCTTCTTTCCAACCTCAACCACGGACGTACCCAAAACCGTTTATGTTTTCTTCTTTCTTGGTGCCTGGTTCCTTCTGTATTGATAGATATCTATCTCCAATCCCATATGTTGTTGCAGCAGAAGAAGTAGTTGTGCAGCTGTGAGCATGATGCTGGATAATATGAATCGGGACCATTTTGTGGTTTGGAGGCCGATTTTACGTGTCTTACTCGGCAATTATATGTACTTTACTCATCGTCGATCGGTAATCTTCATGTGTAATCGGCAATTACAGCAATAAGTCTTTGATATCGTAAGCCTTACATCACTGTGTCAGTGAGCATCGTGAGGAATCGGGAGTGAATCATAGATATATCGCCGCAGAAATGTGATTTAAACGTAGCCAATCAGCCAATGCTGGGTGAAATCGTATCAACAATGGGTCCTCAATCTCAGTGTTATTTTCACTTATACCTATGTCTACAGTCTCTGCATCATCTATTACGTAGGTTTACTGTAGACACTGTGTAGAAAAGGAAAATATATACAAAATCTGTCTGATTGAGAACGATAACATTGTAGGTGACGAATCGGCAATAGTCGGGGTAGTCTTGATTGGTCGTAGCCCAGTGAAATGGGGGCATTATTCAATTGAGATCTTTTACAATTTGGTACTTCACTATGTCAGTATCTGACATGTACTCTTTCAGTATGACCGATATTTAAGATGATGTATATATATATATATATATATATATATAAACATGACCCTCATTCATAGCTTAGCTTAATAGATCATGTTTAGAATAAATTGAACCGTTCTTGCAGATATTTTCACAGAGAACTGAAATCAGCACGGTACTCACAGAACATTCTGATCTTGTGTCCCGACTGTTACCAAGTGAGCTCTCAACACGAACGCCCTCCTCCGACAGCAACTGGCCCATCAGTGTAATGCTCCACTTGACTCAGGAGCAGGCTCCAAAACTGTGACAGATCATGAACTACAGAAGGTCAAGGCTGCTGCTAAGTATGTGCTCATGCAGTCTTTATACAATTTAAGTATAATGAGGACATCTTCTGTTAGCTTATTGTTTTATTCAGGTGAGTGGGTACTGCTTAACACTGAATCAGCAATTATGGAGCTATTTGGGCCAGGAAAAGTTACATGGAGATGTCAGGGTATGAACAGGGGGCTTTCACAGTAATATTCAGGAAATTAACACAAATCAGTTTGCTTCAGTCGAAATAAATCATTCTGATCGTGGTTGTTCCAGAGCTCTCAAGTTCAACAGAGAGAAGATCCCACAAACAAGAGTTCAAGAGTTGGAAAAGGCTGTGATGGATTTTTATGAAGTTACCTCCCTTGACCCTGAAATCATTGAACAAGCTTTAGAAATAGATGTAAAGTGAGTCTTTGTACATGTTTATGATATATTTCAAATCACATTTATTTCAATTTACCAGTATGGAGATGCCATGGCACTGTTGTATGTGGTTAATGATCTCGATAACTTGCTGTCATGCCAGATGGGCATTGATATATACAGTGCCTTCTGATCAGTGATGTGCCAGATGGGCATTGATATATACAGTGCCTTCTGATCAGTGATGTGGCACAAGTGATATATACCGTGCCTTCTGATCAGTGATGTGGCACAAGTGATATATACAGTGCCTTCTGATCAGTGATGTGGTACAAGTGATATATACTGTGCCTTCTGATCAGTGATGTGGCACAAGTGATATATACCGTGCCTTCTGATCAGTGATGTGGCACAAGTGATATATACCGTGCCTTCTGATCAGTGATGTGGCACAAGTGATATATACCGTGCCTTCTGATCAGTGATGTGGCACAAGTGATATATACCGTGCCTTCTGATCAGTGATGTGGCACAAGTGATATATACCATGCCTTCTGATCAGTGATGTGGCACAAGTGATATATACAGTGCCTTCTGATCAGTGATGTGGCACAAGTGATATATACCATGCCTTCTGATCAGTGATGTGGCACAAGTGATATATACAGTGCCTTCTGATCAGTGATGTGGCACAAGTGATATATACCATGCCTTCTGATCAGTGATGTGGCACAAGTGATATATACAGTGCCTTCTGATCAGTGATGTGGCACAAGTGATATATACAGTGCCTTCTGATCAGTGATGTGGCACAAGTGATATATACACATGCCTTCTGATCAGTGATGTGGCACAAGTGATATATACCGTGCCTTCTGATCAGTGATGTGGCACAAGTGATATATACAGCCTGCCTGATCAGTGATGGCACAGTGATATATACAATGCCTTCTGATCAGTGATGTGGCACAAGTGATATATACCGTGCCTTCTGATCAGTGATGTGGCACAAGCCTTCTGAGTGACATGGCACAAGTGATATATACCAGTGCCTTCTGATCAGTGATGTGGCACAAGTGATATATACAGTGCCTTCTGATCAGTGATGTGGCACAAGTGATATATACCGTGCCTTCTGATCAGTGATGTGGCACAAGTGATATATGTGGCCTTCACAGTGAAGTGATGATCAGTGATGTGGCACAAGTGCCTTCTGGTGATGAGTGATATATACCGTGCCTTCTGATCAGTGATGTGGCACAAGTGATATATACCGTGCCTTCTGATCAGATGATGTGGCAGTGATGTGGCACAATGATATATACAGGGCCTTCTGATCAGTGATGTGGCACAAGTGGCCCTGTAGTCATGAAATCTGCAAACTGCTGTGTTGAGTGAGTGAGTGAGTGAGTTTAGTTTTATGCCGAACTCAGCAATTTAGTTTTCCTGATCTTCTCTGTCCGTATGAACAAACAATCCGGGGATCAACAGCATGAGTATGGATCTATGCAATTGGGATACAATGACATGTGTCAACCAAGTCAGCGAGCCTGACCACCCGATCCCATTAGTCACCTCTTACGACAAGCATGGGTTACTGAAGATCAGTTCTAACCCAGATCTTCGCAGGAACCTGTGTTGAGTCATGTCCCTCAGACACAATTTAAACCTGAGATTGTGGGCTTGAATGCTGGTTTGCCACGATTATATTGCTAGGTTTGCCAGAATAATACTGTGAGTTTCACCAAATTGGTAAACGTCAGAGACATGTGTCATTTTGGACATTTCCCTATATCAAGCTTGGATGCCGTTATATGGCTGAAATTCTGTTCAAAGCAGCACTCGGCCTGACTCCCTGACTCTCTCACATAGCTGACTTTGGAAATGAAGTTTGTTATCTCTAGTAAATTGTACTGAAGAGAAGATCCAGTAATGATATTCCTCTTTGACGAGAAGAAAGCGCCATTTGACATTGCTACAGTAAATTACGTTTATAACAAACATGCTTACAATGAACTGGTGGATATAATGAACAACCTTCTGTAGAACTCATTCAAAATGCATATAATGAACGACAGTTATAAATAATTAATATTACTGGTCCCTTGTGCTTGTTATAACTGGTTCTTAGTGCTGTTTTTTCTACAAACAGATCTTATTAAAGCTAATAGAGAGTGCAAGAAGTATAGTTTTAGTGTCATTTACGAAGGACTGGCAACAAAGTCGGAGGACTACAGTTGAACAGTGAACAGTTTCCACAAGTCCAGATCTCATCTCGAAACAGATGATTTTCAAAGTCTGCTTATAGCCATCCCAAAAGACTCAGTGGCTGGCTGAAGTACTTAAACATCCATTTTGTGTTTCAGAGTTGTCAACAGCTCTCATGTTCCCCATGGTAAGAAGGTGGTGGTGTACTACAGGTCCCAGGACAAACTGTACGATTTCGAGAAAATGTGGAGGAAGCATTTCCTGGACACTATGCAGCCCAAATATATGCCGCCATTGTGGAAGGTGGACTTTAGAGACAATCAGGTTCATCCTGAGCAACGTCAGCCTTCATTGGGATCTGAAAACAGAAAGCTAACATAGTGGATCAAACTGTCATCATCATCACATCATCATCATCTTCACATCATCATCATCATCATCATCATCATCATCTTCATCATCTTCACATCATCATCATTCATCATCATCATCATCATCATCATCATCATCATCATCTTCACCATCATCTTCACCATCATCATTATTGCAAGTCGGGGCAGTAGTGTAGCCTAGTGGTTAAAACGTTTGCTCGTCACGCTGAAGGGCCGGGTTCGATTCCCGCCATGGGTACAATGTCCGAAGCCCATTTCTGGTGTATCTGGCCCTGATATTGCTAAAAGCGTTGTAAAACTATACTAATTCACTCATTGCAAGTTAAATTTCTTCCAAGACTTAAGCTCCAATATTGTATTATCTCACTGTAATTTGTGAGTTTTAAGTAATGCCAGACAGTGCAAAGGTTTTCCATCCAGCAAGATTTAGGGACTGGTATGGTTGGTTTGATAGGGGTGGGATGGGTTTGGTTGGGGCGGCGGTTTCTGAATCTTAAGACTAAAATATATTGCTGCCTATTTGCTGCTCTCTCCCCTTAGCCAAACATTCCCAGAAAGTACTCAAGTACTTTTTATTAAAATCTTTGCAATCTCAGAACAGCTTCTATTAGCTAATCATTTTATTTAGGAAATTCAACATAAATCAATGTATATATTTTGCACTTACATGTATGAATTCTTTGCTCAAATAAATATTTAAGCACCTCTTGAATGAAAATGACACATCTGAGTTATTAAGAACAGTCATATTTACCATTACTTACCTTCACAAATTTCATCAGTATCTATTATTTTGAGCATACCTCCAACAATTTATTATGATCTGTCATTTGAAGCATATATACTTATACCCAAAAGCTCTTTAAATAAACATTTGTACTTATTCAATGATGTCATAATAGTTCATGTTCCAAATCCCAGAAGCAGGCAATGAAATAGGTGCTGTATAACAGTATAAGGCCAGACCAATTTTATTTCTTGTTTTACGGATTTTTGTCCTCAGAAAACCTAAAGGCAGGAGAAAAAAATAAAAATAAAATCACCAGTCAAAGTAATATTCCTTCTAAATACTCAAAGTGTGTTACTTTTGGCAATTTATGAAGTGTATATGGGGGCAAAAAACAATCTAAAAGCAAAATTTCCTGTATTTTTAACATGTTTGGCCAATGAAAACATTAGGATTTATTTTTTGAGCGGGGAAAATTAATTTTTAATTTTTTTCTTATTCTTGAAAAAATATGACAAGAAATAAGCTTGGTCTGGCCTAAATATCAATTTCATTTATGTACTATTATTAACTCTCATTAAATGAATTTTTATGCTTTTCAATGCCCAATAATATTTTAAGAAATGCATATATATGGACGTGTGTGCGTGTGTGCGTGCTTGTGTGTCTGGACGACAGGTTACGAAATTGAAGAAAATGTGTACTTACTCCTTATGTACAACCTCTATTATATTGAGATATTACTCATGCGTGTCTTACTTGTGTATCTTACTTGTGTATCTTTCATACACAACTCAGGTTCTTGTTTGACGACCGCCTCTGTGGTGTAGTGGTTAGAGCGTCCGCCCGGAGAGCGGAAGGTCGCGGGTTCGATCCCTGACCGCGTCAAACCAAAAGACGTTAAAATATGGCGCTCGGCATTAATGGGTACAACAAGGACTGGTCGGCTCGGAGTCAGTATAATGTGTCTGAGTGGGTTATAATTGCTTCACTGCGACATGGTATCTCAGTGGGCTAGCACTATAAAAACAGCTTAAGTCTGGGCTAGTACAAGCAGTCGCACATACACATACACACGCATGCACGTCGTCATATGAGCGAAATATTCTCAAGCACGACGTTAAACGCAATTTCACCGCTTGAATCATGTATTACAGCACTGTGGAAATAACAAGGTCTAAACTCGACATACGGTGGCTGACCGCCCCAGTTTCCTGTGTGACATTGAATCAGTAGCTAGCTACATGGCGACAACCTATAAACAACCAAATCTGAACCAGACAACCTTGTGGTTGATATTAGTACCAAGGCGCCATTATGTCGGTTCTCCGTTCAAAAACATGTGTTCACTGACAAGACATGAACCGTTTTACAGTCCATGGGTGTGCTTTGACGTAGCTGTTAAGACAAGCGTCTTAAAATACCTATCCAACGATGACTTTGAAACCCCCGAGTTGTCTCCCTTAGACCTTATTGGTTCGGCATCTTTCACCAATAATCAATAACGTACCTGATGTGACAAGAGGAATGTCGGGAGTCACAGAGAAGTGGGCTAGGTGAAACGTGTTTACGTTCTAAGGGTGACGCTACATATCGTGATAGAAGTCAAACGTTCCATTATGCTGTCAAACAATCTTATCACTGTAATCTCTGCTATCAAACACAAAGGGAGTCAAACTCAAGACAATGTAATATTGCCTGTCAAACACTATGCAATTGCATTTGCTGTCAAACACTACACTGTCAAACATTGAACTATACATGGTGTCAAACATAGTAAGCATGCTAATGTATAAAGTTACCCGGGCAGTCCAATATAATCCCGAATATAGATCAACGTGCGTGCACAGTGATGTAACGGTACATCGACTGGTAACCAGCACTCCTCTACCACACTCAACAAGATCCTCAACAAACACATCACCATACATATCCTATCATGTATCTCTGATGATCAAACTTGTTTTTGCTGATTATTGTCAGCTTAAAAACTTGTCGGAGAAGTGTCACTGTCACATGAATCTAAGTCTACATTTCTATCTTTTTCTTAGTTACGGGGGCGGTTGGGTAACGTAGAGGTTCAAGCGTTCGCTCGTCACGCCGAACGCCTGGGTTCGATTCCCCACATGGATACAATGTGTGAAGCCCATTTCTGGTGTCCCCCGCCGTGATACTGCTGGGATACAGTTGAAAGCGGCGTAAAACCCAACTCGCTATAAAGTTTCCATAATTCCATCTTTGTTCCAGTCACAATCACCTGTAAAACATGCGTCCCTTATCACATGACGTATACGGATAATTAGGTATATAGTTTGATGTGAGATTCACGGCCGCAGTCAGACTATTGTTATATTTACGTGAACTAGTGAATATAGTTCAGACCACAGGGGCTTGTAACGCTAAAAACTGCCATCAAGGTATGTACTGTCACTAACGGGGTCTTACGTCCCGGTTTTGCTTTTGAGACGGTCCCAGTCTTGTCTGATTTGTTTACAATATTGTAAACTTGTTGGTAAGACATACCAACAGCTCTACAAGTTCTGTAATAAACCCTTTCTAAACTAATGAAAGGTTTACCTCTGTCTTTTTCAAGCGCAAAAAACTTATAAACCTTTGCAACAATTGACTGCAAATAGTTGGCCATAGTGAACGCAGTGATAAAGATGTGCATGCATGACGGGAAACTTATTTATCAAGACTTAACATTTATATTAATATTTCTTCAGTAAAGAAACGATAATTAATTAAAATAGCACAAACATTCAACATTTATTTGTTAAAGAAAAACGTGGATTCATATTTTTACACCACCTGTATTATTAGCATAAATGTAAAAACTGTTTCAGATTTCTGTTGAAAAAATCCTAAGTTGTTGTTTTGGTACCATATTCTCACCTGTAAACTGCCCTTTAAATAGATGGGAATGTTAAATCGATTGAAATAAAAATTAGGTACACTATAGGCGAGTTGATATATTGACAACATAGTACATTTATCACCTTTATCAAAGTATTAAGGCTAAAAAGCGACAGTACTTTAGCACTATATCCTTTTATATAGTGCTAAGACCCCGTCAGTGACAGTACATACCTTGATGGCAGTTTATGGCATCCCAAGCCCCTGTGGATCCGACATGGATTGTTCCCAATGGCACTAGGATTGAGATGAACTGAATGTCCTACGCATATCAAGCTGGGTGGAGGGGGTTACACACGATTGTTTTTGCTGCAGTTTTTTTTATTTTGTGTCTCGTTACATATCAATATCACACTTGAAGATCCGGGTTAGAATAGGTCTTCAGCAGCCCATACTTGTCGTAAGAGGCGACTAACGGGATCGGGTGGTCAGGCTCGCTGAGCTGGTTGATGCATGTCATATCCCAATTGTGTAGATCGATGCTCATGATGTCAATCACTTGCTTGTCTTGTACAGATCGATTATTAACAGATCGCCGCCATATAGCTGGAATAATTGCTGAGTGCGTTGTTAAACAGCAAATATAACGAAACATGTTGATACGCTTCAGGAATATTTATACATAGTATTGTTTTGGAGCAATAGTTCAGTTGATAGTATTGATTTTGGATGTATTCTAAATAACTTTAAGTGCATGTTTTTACGTACTTTCGAAACTTGAAACGTTTACTACCAAGGACAAGGCCTCTATATCAGCATCTGTATTAATTTTCAGCATAGATGTAGGTATAGTAGACCATAGAACTCGAGTTACAGTGCAGCCCAAATAGTCTTTGAATTATACATTACACTATTGTTTCTTAATGACATTGCATTCAAAACACTGTTTATCAGTTTCAGTGTTATCGGCAGAAAGGTGTATCATATTCTGTAAGGGAACTGATAATTTTTGGCTGTAAGAAAAATGTTTTACTGACTCTGTTTTTGACTTGTTCATATTATTGGGAAAAGATTATTTGTACAAATGCAAGCTCAATTCTGTTTTACTAAATATTACTCAGTTCAGAAGTGAGTTGAAATTGAGATATAGTATTGAAAAATGTATTTTCTTTAACAAAAGCTGTAACACCGAATTTTGATCGAAATGGCTCTTATATCATGGCTTATTCAAAGACGACTGAATTAATTATATTATTAATATGTTTGATAATTAAAAATAATCTTGTACTTGTGTGAATGGTGAGTGAATGGATTGTCTTGTTTCGTAAAAAATCCCACCTGTATCCCATTAAATTACTGTATATCTTCAGACTGAGCTGTCCCCTGGCTGCTTAGTTTTGACTGTAACAGGGATTCAGAAATAAAATTTAAATTACAAAAAAAAATATTCTGAAAGGAGGATGTTCTTAGTATTTTTTGTCCAGATACACTTGAAGGAGATCTGCCAAAGCCATGTCCCGTGTAGAAGACTGGCACTGTGCT